TACGACTACAGATTTTTTTTTTCGTTAAAAAAAAGGACCTATAACATGCGTGTACCTCGTCCATTTTTTTTGTTTATTTTTGAACTTTCTATACTATAAGCATTCATAAAAACCTACGTCGGTTGTAAAAGAGACGCGTGACGACGTTCGACACGGTAGCACCTAACAAAATTAGGGTTTATGATCAAATTTCATGTTCAGTGCATGTGATATCAGCTAATGCTATCATCATACTAATTTGTTAACAGCTAATTAACATCTTAAACTTTGGTCTTTTTGGGGGGATAAGTTCGCAATTGTCATCATATCATTTTTGATTAAAGGATCGATTTGAGATTTTGTTATGTACGTGATGATGCTATTCTTTCTTGTCCTGTGACATCAATTATTCGAAACATGAATACTATCAATGAGAAAAGAAACGTGCTATTCAAGAACATTCATTTAGGTTTTACTCCCATTCAAAAATCTGTTACAAAACATATCTTTGATAGATTTTTAATTTCCTGTTAATACTATTAACTACCAACGCGCTTAATTGTAACAACTTATCCAACACATCAATAAAGCATATCTGATATTAAAAACAGAAAGACACCACCAGCCACAATATTCACATTCACAATGTAGTAATAGTATTACTGAAGTTACAAACTATTAGACCTCCTGAGGTTACTATTTTTTTGTATGCAAGTGTTCTAATCTTCTTCTTTTTTCCTTTAATTGGACAAGTTCAACAGTGAATTTTGATTTTCTTTCTCGTCCAACAATGAAATCTAAAAAGGAAGAAAATAGTCTATTTATTAAATTAAGATTTCAAAGCCAACAAGAAAACTAAAACAAGGGGAGAGGATATATAGTGCTTCATGCTATGTTTACAATATTTAGGCTTTTGAGACAAAGGGAAATAATGATCAATGCGTAGTGTCTAAACTTAGAGAAACTAAATAATGTTTAGTTACTGAATATTAAATAAGATTAAGAGAACTGATGCGGCCGAAAACGTGATTATGTTCACTCGAAAGGGTGAGCCTTTCATCATTTCCCAACCCCACCCTTTTTGTTTTGTTTTTCTCCCACTGTTCTCACTGTTCCAGTTACTATAAACTTCTGTTTGTTATTATTTTCATTTAAAAGTTAATCTCTTTATTTTCCGTTAAGCCAAATGAAAACCATTTTCTTATAATACGAATTCCTCTTTAACACTTGTCATAATTATCTGTAGTAGTATCACTCAACTTCTCAAGAAATTTTTTACAAAAGGTAATAAAGCATGGACAGATGTGTACGAAAACTATGTTTTTTTTTTTTTTGTAACTGAACTATGTTTATTGTATACAGTAAGTTTATTGACGGTAGTGTTATTTTCGTTATTTAGGGCTTAGTTTTCCTCTTTTGGATGTTCTATTGTGTATCTAGTTGGTTCCAGTAGCTAGGGCTGGGCATTTTATTCGTTATATTTGATTCGATTCGTTATTCGTTTCGATTCAATCCGAAAATTCCGGATATCCGTAAATTTTCGAATCAAAGCAAATACTAAATTTCAATATCCGTTAAAATCGAAGCAAATCACAAATATTAAAATTTTGGGAAGCGAATATCCGATCCGATCCGGAAATATATAAATATATGTATATCTTGATTATATTTAAAATTTTAAATGTATAAAATTATATAATTATTATTCCAATACATGATTTTGACAATTCTATTCACATTATTACTTATATAAAAATATTACATAAAAAGAGGGAAAAAATTATGAAAATTATATTTTTTTTCTTAAATTTTGTGTTATTATAATTGTAATTTAAACTTTAAAAAATTACAAAATATGTAAATTCACTAGTTCTTTTAATTTTTATTTTATATATCATGCAAAAAAAAATTTTTGCAAAGAAAATTTGTATCAAAATCTTAAGATTATTTATATTAGTCAAAATGGATAAGATATCCGTAAATATTCGTAAATATCCGCAAATATCTATTTATTTTCCGGATATCCGTTTTTCCGGATATCCGTATTTTTTCGAAGCAAAGCAAATACCAGAATTAGATATCCGTAACATTCGAAGCAAATCACAAATACCTTAAAAAACCCGGATATCCGATCCGTGCCCACCCCTACCAGTAGCTGTCTAGAATAGATAGTCATTTTTGTATTTCAAATTTGTAATTCTCTGTTGATTACCAGATGACCAAAAAAACCTTGATGTGAAAAAGTTATTGGTGCAGAGCAAATGCATTCATCTGTTCTTATTATTAAACCCTGATCTGTGGTTATTTTCATATGAAATAAAATAAATACATAAATCGAGTATAGTTGTGAATGATTGGAAAACCAAGCCATGCGTGAATGATATAATTGTAAGAAATTATTACGATTATATGTGAATCGATATGGTCAATAGTGATTTGAATCGTAAAATTAAATTAATCATGATTGTGTTGTGTTATACAATCATATAAATCAAACCAGAAAGATAAAAACTGTTGTTTTATTTATTTTTATTCTATTTAATTGTTTTCTGCCCTTTTCCATGTAACACACTCCATGTTTTGAGCCAGTCTGAAAAGAGTCCAAAGACCATGTGATATATATATCATCCCATATATAAAATTACTGTATGCAGTTTATGGATCATCAAATCGAACTCTATTGAGTACTAGCCAAATCAGAACTAATTACCAGCTGAAATATCATAGATTCATTGTATAATTCGTTTTGTCACCATTTACACATGATCCATAGAAAACAAATTCTATATATGAACGGTAATATTAGGAGATTCATTTTAGTAAAAAAAAAAAGGAAATATTAGGAGATACACTTTAAACCAGTGAAGCATATTAGCAATCAATTCATTACGATGGCTCCACATATTAAATGAACAGTACCTAATAATCTCACTATTTAAAGCCGTACGAGAACGGTCTCACATAACTACATACGGAGTATAACATTTTTTGCCAATGACATAATTACATAACTAAGTATTCTGTTCACTCTATTGGCTTTGATATTAATTTTGTGTTCTATATGGTAAAATAATATTTCAATCTCTTTATTAGATTGATTTGGTCGTAAATTTGCATGAATAGTTTTCTATCAAAAACAAAAATAATTGATGCTAGCTGGAGATAAAAGAATATCTTATTTCACATAATATTTAGATAATATACGTGGTGCATTTTTAGTTGGTTTTATATGTTTTTTATTTCTCTAAATAAAAGATAGTTAACATTTGATTTTTGTCGCATAATTACATAACTTTTTTTTGTCAAATAATCATATAATTAAGTATTAAGTTAACTTTCACATGCTATACAAAATTAAGTTATATTTTTCTGGATATTTACATTGTATACATGCATAAAAGTCTATCCATAAACTTTATATTTTTTTTAGAAATTAATCTGGATCCTTCTATAAAATCATGATATTCCAATTTAATCAAAAAGTATTAAGTTCACTCTATTCACATATAAGCCAGATTTTTCTAAATGATAAAATAATATTTCAATCCATTCGATTGTAATAGTCTGATCTTAAATTTGTATGATTTTTTTTCTACAGAAATAACAATAATTGATGCTAGTTTGAGATAAAGAACTATAGTATTTTATATATGTATGCAATGTCAAAAAGTATATTAGAAGGTTTAGTTTCTCTATATACTTTTTTGAAGGCTAGTTTCTATATATTCATGTATTTATTAAGTAATATAATATGTTCTTATAACTCTATATTGAAAGATATTTAACAGTTAATTTGATAGAATTTTTAAATGATAGATTCAAATGTATTTATATAACTCTTAACTAAACCGTATAAAATATATATTGACATACATTATTCATAATCTGCTAATCTTATACAACATAATAAGGGAAAAAACTACTGGTTAATTAATTCAAAAAAAAACTACTGGTTAACTGGAATGTGGAGCATGTGTGAACCCTGAATAAATATATAATCGGATTCTACATCTACTCTGTTTTTATCAAAAAAAAAAAAAAAAAAAAAACACAACAACTTCACGTTACTTCAGTGTTCTAAAACAAAAGGGAGATAAATTATTGAAGTGAATGAGAATGAATCGTTCCTAAATTTTATGTCGCAAAATTCCTAGGACCGGTTTACACGGAAGGAATAAAGAGAGAACAACTTCACGTTTTAACAAAGTAACGTTAAACTAACCGGTTCACTGTCGTAATTAATAAATTAAAATGAATCTAGATGTAATTAGATTATAATTCCTATAAAACAACTGGTTGTTTCGTTGAGGCCACGCCAAGCCACATAAGCTGAGCTAAGAAAATCTGATGAGGAGTAAATTAAAAGTAAAAGCACATTCTTATAAAGTAATGTACTCACTAATATATAGAAGATTTTATGAATATTCACATAGTGTTCTTAGTCCCCATTTCTAACGTTTCCTTTTGATGTGTTAATTTATATAATTCACAGTGAAATGTATTAGTTTATATTTCAATGTTCAATTATTAATTTGAACCGGAAAGTCTAATGCTGGATAAAAGAAAGCAAAATATGTGGAATCAGAAATCTTTACTTTACTGTTTCGAAAATCCAACTTATTTGTATGCTAAAAGGATAGAATTATATAATACTGATATGGAATTTAGAACATTAAAACCGGTGATACCATTAATACTTGCACTCCAAATGTAGGTTTTTTTTTGACACATACTCCTAATCTACTTTTGGCAATTACTTTTACATCTAATTATTAATAATATTCGTAGCAATAAAAATATAAAAATAATATTTTATACATACTAGCCCAAAATAAGAGTACTTGCACTCACTCCATTTTTTCCCAATAAATTAAAGCACATCTTAAAAAAGATATCGAAGTATCAGCTCTGCATCATCTCTCTATCTCTCTCTCTCCCTTTCATTCTGAAACAGATGAAGTAGCGAAGTTAATGTTCACCAAACTTACTGTAAAGCCTGAAACTATCTTTCTTCTTCTTCTTCTTCTTCTTCTTTGCTTCATTCAAGTCTCTGCTTTGCTTCTCTGTTTCTAAAGCTTTTATCTGCATATTTGTCTTCCGTGGAAAATACCTAATAAGAAAAGAGAGTCCTTACTCTCGAGCTATTGTTACTGTTTTCTCAGATAATGTATAACATGTTTGTGTTAACAGTTATTTTTGCTTCTGTCGTTTGAATATATTACTCAAGTAACATTTTCTTGGTTTTCTTTATTGTGCAGATCAAACTTTCAAGAACCAGAGGAGTTGTTGCAGATCTAGTGAGATAATTTTAATTATTTCAAGGAAAAAATGAGTAAAGAAGAGTTTATGAAGATCCAGGTTTACTCAACATTCTTTTTCTTGATATTATTATTGGTATAGTAATATGAGAGTTTACTCTGTTTTTTATTTGTTGTTGTGTTTTCTTGTGCAGACTTGTGTTCTTAAAGTGAACATTCACTGTGATGGTTGTAAGCAAAAAGTGAAGAAAATCTTGCAGAAAATTGAAGGTAAATTAACAAGAAAAAGACAAATAAAATTTCACCGTACATTTGACTTTCTAAAATGTTTTCATTTTAATTCAGATTTGACTCAACTCTAGGCTAAGTTGTTTTTTGGTCTCTGGAACAGGTGTTTTCACAACTAAGATAGATGCTGAGCAAGGGAAAGTGACTGTGTCTGGAAACGTAGACCCCTCTGTTCTTATCAAGAAGCTCTTGAAATCTGGTAAACATGCCGAAATCTGGGGAGCTCCAAAGGGAAATAACACCGTTCAGAACCAACCCAACTTGGCCAATCAGTTCAAAGGCATGCAGATTGACCTCGGCGGCAAAGGCGGTGGTGGTAATGGCGGTGGAAACAACAACAAAGGCCAGAAGGGTGGTGGTGGTGGACAGCCACCTAAGATGGGTGGAGGTGTTGGGCCGCCAATGAAGATGGGCAGTGGCGGAGGAGGTGGTGGGCCGCCAATGAAGATGGGTGGTGGTGGTGGTGGTGGTGGTGGTGGAGGAGGAGGCGGTGGTGCGCCGTCAATGAAAATGGGTGGTGATGGGCCGCCAATGAAAATGGGTGGTGGTGGGCCGCCAATGAAGATGGGTCTTCCACAGTTAACTCCACAACAGATGCAGCAGCTGAATCCTCAGCAACTGCAGCAGCTTCAACAGCTTCAGCAGATGAAAGGGTTTCAAGATATGAAGCTTCCTCCTCAGATGAAGGGTCCAGGCCCTGGCTCTGTTCCTGTGAACAAGAATCCTAATCAGAAGGCTGTGAAGTTTGACGTTCCTGAAGATGATGATGACGATTTCAGTGATGACGAGTTCGATGATGATGAGTTTGATGAAGATGACGAGTTTGATGATGATGATTTGGAGGATGATGAGTTTGACGATCACCCTCCTCCGCCTAACAAGATGAAGCCTATGATGGGTGGACCTGGTGGAAACATGATGATGCCTAATAACATGATGCCTAACAACATGATGCCTAACATGATGATGCCTAACGCTCAACAGATGTTAAACGCTCACAAAAACGGCGGTGGTCCTGTACCTGCCGGTGGTAAGATTGTGGGCCCTGGTGGTTCCCCTTTTCCTGTGCAAATGCCTAGCGGAGGAGGCAACGGTGGTAAGAAGGGAGGTCCCGGTGGAGGTGGTGGCGGTAATGTGGGGAATCCAAATCAAAACGGAGGCAAGAACGGTGGTGGCGGTGGTAAAAGCGGTGGTGGTGGTAGTGGACAGTTTGATGGAAAAAATGGGGGAGGTGGTGGTGGTCCTACCGGTAATAAAGGTGGTGGCGGAGGCCAGATGATCGGTGGTCCCAACGGAGGCAAAAAGGGTGGTGGTGGCGGCGGAGGAGGACCCATGAGTGGAGGACTCCCACCGGGTTTCCGTCCAATGGGAGGCGGCGGTGGACCTCCGACGATGAGTATGCCAATGGGTGGACCAATGGGTGGTCCAATGGGCAATGTACCATCAATGGGTGGTGGTGGTCCTGGTCCAATGGGTAATAATAATATGCAGGCGGTTCAAGGATTACCCGCAATGGGTCCAGGAGGTGGCGGCGGCCCATCCGTAGGAGCCCCGCCAGGATATTTCCAAGGCCATGGAAGCAACGGTGGTGGCCAAGACTCAGTGCCAGGAAATCCCTACTTGCAACAGCAGCAACAACAACAACAACAACAATACTTAGCGGCTGTAATGAACCAGCAACGAGCCATGGGCAACGAGCGGTTCCAACCAATGATGTACGCTCGACCACCTCCCGCTGTCAACTACTTGCCACCTGAACCGCAACAACAACATCCGTACCCGTATCCATATCCATACCCATACTCGTATCCGCCTCATGGTGGTGATCAGTATTCGCATTACTTCAATGATGAAAACACATCAAGCTGCAACATTATGTGAGCAAGCAACATCACAAGCTGCCATAGTTTGTGTATTCGTCCGGTATGTGATTATACATGGAAGTGGGGTTTTTTTTCTTAATGGTTGGGGGTTCTTACAGTCCTTTTTACTCCAACGGATTCAATCCTAAGTTATATTAGGGTTTTTCCTTTTTAAAAATTTGTGATAGTTCTTAAGTAACTTATAGAATCATAATATATAATCAACCGAGTATTATATTTTGCAGTTTTTTTTCTTTGAGTTCTCTTACCTTCTTAACGAGATCCTAGTTCATATGCTGTCTAGATGTTTTAGAAAAGGTAAATAAAGCCATAATGGAATGAGTTTTTTATATGAAGTGACTTCATGATTTTTGTTATTCTTATAGAGAATATGCGCAATTGCGATGAACAAGTTTGGTAGATACTAGATACCAAACCCCTTCAAATTCTGCTGCTATTAGTAACATTGACGCTTACGATTCAATACTCTTACTTGTTTTAAAACCTACTACTAAATTGTTTATCTGAACGATTTTTTATCTATTTCTTAGAACTTATCTTGTAACTGAGAAAACTCTTTGCAGAAGCACTTTATTTCCTTTTTCCAAACTGAGCAAACATAATCAGTAATGAAATTGGAATTATGTCCCACCCACTATAATTTAAGATCATTTTGTCTATTTGGTTTTTAGCTTTTTCCCCTTTTGTTATTAGGTTTGAATATTTTTTTAAAGGAAAAGGATTACAACGACTAAAGTAAACAGATTAGTTGTATTTAAAATATATAAATAAAAAGACAATTAAAAAAAAAACGCTGAATGTGAGGATTGACAACATCTGCTTTTCTCTACTCACCAGTGATTTGCACAATCAAATAATATTTCATCTGTGGCATATGAGACGGGTTAAATCTCGTAGTTAACAAAGTTAAAACTTCTAATGAATAACAAAAGATGATCATCATCGTCATCATGATCATTACTATGATGTATCATGAATGATCAAGATGATGATAGATGATGAGTAGGACCCATATAAGTGAATTTAAATGGATGCTTGCAGCAGCTACTAGTGTTTCGCGTCACAGCTCAGCTCACGTTTCTTCTCGTTCTCATTCTTATGCTTTTGCACACGTTACAGAATAGACAATATTATTAAAATAGCGCTTTCTATTATTACTTCTAAAATTTTATTTTATCGTTTCACTTACGGTACTTGTATGCGGCAGTTTCATTATCTAGAACTGAGAAAATAAATTTACCGTTACATTTGCTTGTTTTATTTTTACATACCAATCATATTAACTCATAATATAGACACAAGAAGTGTTGAATGAGAAGACAAGTAAAGGATTCGAACAGGCTGCTCGAGGTTCGACACTTTGTTTATCACTTTGCTTGTTTACAGTTTTAACGCTATCCCATAGTTTTACTACTGCGTTTACACTTTACCGACCAAAAACCCGTTACGGATTTGACAGTTCTAACCCACCTTTTCTTCTTTCTCTTTGGGTCCCATGGTTTCTTTATTTTTTGTCCCTTCATATTATTATATTTCATTCAGTTATGGCCAAAAGCGAAAAAGTGAATCTTCAGTGTTCAGATACAATTAAACACACTTTAAAAATATTTTGTATTCAACAACATGCATGTATATATGTGAATTTTAATTCGAGTGAAAACAGTACCAACACTATTAAAAACTACTACTATATTTGATTATCCAGTTAATTGTTATTGCTATTGGAGAAAATTTACACTTACTAGTTACTACAACAACCTAGTAACCTAAGAAAAATTATTTCAACACTATAAAAAACTACCAAATGTTAGCAAAAAAAAAACACTATAAAAACTACTTTTCTCAACAACAACAACAAAAAAGCTATAAGAAACTACTTAATTTTAGAAGAACAATGACCTAAACATAAGAAAATAAGTATTACAAATTTATATAACTACCTATATTTTAAAAACTTCTTTTTATAATAAATTTTATAGACAAATAATTCCTTTTTTTTGGGCAAACAAATTATTCCATATTATAAACTAAATACATCAATTAAGTTTTTTATAGGAATCTACCGAAAGTTTGATAGCTAGAGTAAATGAAAGCTAAAGGGCTTAGCTTCTGCTGCAGGCTGATCTTAGTCAGATAACCTTCGTGTCCAGGAAAGATTATTGAGCGTTATAACGTCTGCATCACAGCCTGTCGAGAAGACGCGTGGGACCCTCCCTCACCTTTGCTTGCTCGCCGGTTACGAAACCGCGCGAACGACGAGTGATGATGACGTGATGTTATAGTTAACGCCGTTAAATTACCATAATTGTCATGGACATTAGAAATTAAATAAGGATATTTTTATACCTTAAAATTTAGTAAGGAGCCACGTAATTTATAAAAGTTGGTATTCTTCGTATCATAATTACTCACAATAAAAGAGACAAATAAAATAAAATAAAACAAAGTAGCTTTATGAATTAACGCAAATGTTCCCTCTTCGTACCATGAAAACCTGCATACCAATCGAATTGTGGGAAGGCACTAGGCTAGTGCCATTAGCACATTCACCTATTCGTTATAGTCTGACTTAAATTTGATTCGTTTTATTTTCACAATTTATCTAAGTATTTAACCAAAACTAAACAAGTTAATGTAGGAGTTTCCCACGTGAATGTCGGGTCATGCAATACATGTACGTACGTGTGTGTACATGTTTATGTATGTCTGTGATGTATTATGAGATGATAGAGATAAAGAAAACAATACATGCAGCAAGTTTGTTTGGTGCAGACATTAAAATACAGAGGTGGCCAGGTGGGTGTGACAGAAACAGAGAGAGCGTGTGTGATATTGAGAGCCCCGAAAAGAGAGTATTGGAGAAAGGAAGTGAGCACATGGAAAGGCTTGTTTGTGTTTCCGATGATGAAAGAAGGGAATATTACAAACCAACAAAAGTCAAATCTGTCTTATTTGGAACTCAAGGATCTGAGTCGTCTTGACAACCGATCAAGCGCCCAGAACATTCAAGAAAAAAAAAATATAAAGAGCTTTTTGACTCTTTTTTTAATAACAGGATACATGTTGAAAAGACGGTAATTTAGCCCAAAAAAAAAGAAAAGACGGTAGATACATCAAACATACATGTGTTTAGAACCTCAGCTACTATATATAGACTGTATATATGTTTAACTAAATAGTAGATAGTTCCAAAATTGAAGTCTGAATTAGATCTGTGAAGTTTTGTGGTTATATATGTGGCTAACAAACATAGAGAACATTATCCATCCGAAATCAAACTCGTATAAGTTGGATTTGGGTTCGGTTCTTAGAAATATTTTCGGTATCTTAATTGATTGAAAGTATAATAAAGATGAGACATTCCTTTGATCTCATATTGAACTTTTTCTCCTTGACAATTACTTGGATTAGTCAATAATCTCTAACCACCACCACCAAAAATAGTCAATGCAAACTTTTGTGTGTTACAAAATGCATTATCACAAATGCTTTTATGTAAACGGTAAACCTAACTAATGTAATAGCCCTCTGCTTTTTTTCCATCATGTTTCTCATATTTGGAAAGCTATTACCGTATTACGTCCTTACCTTCCCACTATTATAATTTTCATCCATTATAAAAGTTATAAATCTATTGACTTTTGGTAAGAAAGATTAAATGGCTCACGTGAACCTGGTAGAAGAAGCAAAGCAAGGACAACTTTGACAAATTACTAAGCAAGTATGCTAAAAGTCTTTGATTATAATTGAACGACACGCTTTCGTACAGTTTTATAGTACTGATCTAAATAAATTATCTTCTAAGTACTACTTATTGACTGTTATTTACTCATATAAAGTATTGCTTTTTGAGTATCGTTTAATTATGCAAATGGACACTGACACTACAAGCTTAAGTAGGATTTGCATCCACAAGTTTTTGCATAACGTGGACACAGTTCATATAGTGCGAATCAATAGGGGGAAGAAACAAATTGTAATGGCCGTATAAACCACACACAAATTAACGGCTAGTATTTAACTGTTCAACAACAAGCAAAAAAAAAAGGGAAGGGGAATAAAGGTCATATATATTCCTTGTTCTATTGTATATTTTTTCGGTTTAATCTTTTTTTTTTCTAACGTTTTAATTATATTATTACAAACTATGATAAATTTTATATAGACCATAATACAGTCAACAATTCTAAATGAAAATTTACGCCTAACTATATTACTTAAGCAATTCTACGATAATTATTCATGAAGATATTCTTTACGTCATTCTAAAAGTTTTTTATAAGTATTTTCTCCAATATTCTATATAATTTGTTTTTTCTAACAACTGAAATTTAGACCTTGTGGTATAGAATCATTGGTCAAATCACTGGATCAAGGATGTATCTCGATTTAATCTATGTCAGTATCAAGTCACGATGATCTTGAGACGTCTTCCTAAAGAGTACTTCAATTTCTGCATACTTGTGCTACATAATTACTCATTAACGTGCATTCGTAATAGTCTACTTTAAGTATGTATGTATCTAAAAAAAAGAGTATGTCTGTAATTGCTATATGATCGATAAAACATGTGTAATGTATATATGGATAGAGAGATAAGAGAGCTGAGTATTCAAGCAACAAGACACGAGCAGTTCACGGGCTTAAACAAAACTCAATACACTAAAAACAATGTCGAAAAAAAATAATATGCATGAAACTAATATTTTGAGAGGAACAGAGATTTTTTGGTGGGTCAACATGGAGATATAGATAATGACATAATGTTTATCATTGATAACGCAGAATGTTGCAACAGTCTTTTCCTCTTACGAATAATAATTTGTTTCTTATATATGATGTACTGTTTTTTTTATTTTATGTACTGTTTATTTAATTTGTATGTAAACTAATGTATAGCGCAATAGATCAATTATCATAAGATCCAAATAAAAAGCTCATCAGAAAAGACTTGTCCTTGTAATGCATATGATTGATTCAAGTTAGTGAGTGTGCGTGCTTTAATGGGTAGCTACGAATCCGGTCACCAGTCTTCCTTTATTTCTTCTTTTTGTTTGTCAACTACCCATTTTTCAAACCATTATTTCTTCTGTTTTGTTTTTGTTCATATAAATATATTAGTACTGAAAATATTTTAGTTTTTCATATAATTGAAATGTTACAGGAATATGAATTGGTATTGTGACTAATGACAATAGTCATACTCGAGCCCCATACATGTTTCTGGTAGCACCACGTGAAAGATAGGATAATATCTTTTTAACTAATTAAACAAAACAAGTCAGAGTTCAGTTCACCCAACTCCCATCAAATATCTTGCACTTTTATCTTTTACTCACCCCAGTTCCTACCTTTTTAGCCAATACATACATACTATACAACTTACATATTTGTAAAATTATGCACCAAGATAAACTAAAAATTACTATGTCTAGAAAAGGAAATGAACAATTATTCTTTGTCTGCACGTAAAACCAGGGGAGTTAATTTCTCTTGTTATTATCATATATAATTATACTTAAAACAATAAGAAACACACATAGTTTCATATAAATACGGATGTCTAAATTCATTAAGGAGCACAGAAAGATATCATAGTCAGACATCCAAAAAGAAAAGTAAATGCCCGAATGATAAACGAAAACAAGAAAAAACTTATAAATACACAAACGGTATAATCAGATCAATGAGTTAAGTACCGGTTAGAATCTAGAGTGTAGGGAATATGACTTTATAAACAAACAACAAAAGAAGAAGGAATACGAAATGAGTGAAGGTGTTAAAATTAGAGTTAATAAAATGATAAAGTAAGTTAAAAGAAGAGTAAGACTTGTAAGAGTCAAAGTGAGAAGTTCGAAGTAGAAATGGCTCAATACCCAATATGAACTAGTGTCAGGGATGTTCACATGGCAATGCTCAATTCACTGGCTGCTTCTGCTTATTCTTTCTCAAATCTTCAACGCTAACATTTTACTTTTCCAATCGAATCAAATGACCCGCAAAAGTTCAACAAAATTACGCAATTTAATGTAATGTGTTTGGACATAATCGTGATTGTTTATCTGTGACAATGCTCATCCCATAGAGATGTATTTGTTTTTGGCCATAATAAGCACTAGGCACGAAGGTTCGGTTCTTTGGGTCGGATTCAGATCGATTTATTTTGGATATGTGTCTTTTAAGATCCTAGAGTTTTAGATTCAGTAAATATTTGTAATTTTTGGTTTGGCTATCAACATCATGTCTCATACATCAAAACTCTATTGTAGCCAATTATTTTGTGATTAATATATTATTTTTATAGATCCGTAAAATTAAGGGACTCACGAGATAGTTTCTTGTGAGATGGATCATTTGCTGCATGGATCTTAAATATGATATGTCGAAATAGATAATGAGGAGGAAAAAGATAGGAAAATATTATTTACTTCATTGTTCATCTGAAAAAAAAAATTGAGAAAGAGAAATAGAGAATGAAGAGGTGATTTAGTTCTTTTTCCATCGACAGAATTGTAAAATCTTTGACGATGAAGAGTGGAGCTCTGATGGTGGTTCCGGTTTTCAAATCGACTCCAGAAATCACATGCCTGTATGTAATTTCATGTCAACCCACAAAAGCTTACATTTTTGGCAGGGTGGGTTTAGTCATCCATTTCGGACCGCGGCTTGTGCGAATCTGATCCACCATGACCCTTTGAAGGTGAATCTGTTGCAATACGGGATGAATATGATGAGACAATCTCTTTGCCATCTCTAGATTTGAGATACCCCTAGATTAATATAAAAATAATCTTGTGAAAAAATATTAGAGTACAATTAACCCTATTTTTTAAGAAGTTCTTAAGATTAGTGGATCTCATGATTTTGGCAAAAACCAACTTTTCCACCTCTTTTGCAAGAGTTTGGTTTGGACTGTTCGCGAGTCACATCAACATATGACGGATCGCGATTGGTTCGATTTTTTTTTTTAAATAAAAAAAAAGAAAATACAAATCTTAAGAACTTTTGCTAAGCTTTAGATTAATGGTGTTCTTAGAATGGGAAAATAATAAATTAACGTTAGGACTGCAAGTTACGGGAAGTGTTAGTGTGACCCACGTATCTAATAAGGGAATCTTTCTCATGTACGGTGGATTTTCATGTTTGTGGCCCCGGTTTTTTCCATACCTTACTACATTCACGCTTCATTATTACTCCCCCTTCATCTATCTCTATGTTAATTTTCTTAATTTATTACTAGTAATATTCAATTACATTCCCGGGGAAATTAAAGAGGAAAAGTAGTACGTTACGAACCGAAATCAATCAGTTAAATCAAAAAAGAAAAGTAATTAGTACATTGGTGGAGGTAAATAAGAAAGAAGAGTAAGGAAAAAGATAGTGGTACAGATGTTTGGGCATGTGAAGCAGTGTAGTGTAAATAGAAGTTAGAAAAAGTGATTGGTGCGAAATGTTTAACTTAAAAAGAGAGATCACAGAGAATCTGAGGACTGTAATTGCACAACATCCCTCGATGACTTTGTATACACAAAAGGACACCACCATCTAACTTTGATACACTAAGAGACAGGAACAGCAAGTGGAACATGTGAGTGATTGCATAAAATCATCATCCAGTGGGTCGCTTCTGTAAAATTTGTGGGGGAAAGTTATTATAGATAACGTTTTTATATATATAGTTGTGTACACAGTTCTCCAATTGGAATGTTAGGTTACTGAGTTTTCTCTATTGAAATGCAAACTATTATTGGTTAGATATATTGTGCTTTTGCTTTTGTAATGTGGTAGTGGTTTGAAATTAAATTCTGGAAGTCTTGGTAAACTATCTAATCACTAGAGACTCTTTTTATGAAAGTGAATCCATCAACATTGACTTTTACATTGTTGAGAATGTTCATTACGAAGCTCTAAATAATAAACAAAAATTAAAGATGAGTATTTCCATTAGAATGATAAACTGTAGAACAGTAAAATGATTTAATAAATTTTCACTTTAAAACAAAAAAAATTGATAGCTATACATTGGGATATCTTACGGTTGTAAGTGTATAAAGTCTGTAAAATCCCATCGTTAAAACGCTATCTTATTTTTTTCTAAAGAGCAATCAATTGCATCGTACAATGATCATAGGATTCTCATTTATAAATAGTTGATTGACAACTGATTTACCAATTACCATTGGTCGGACTATGACTGGCCATTTGAAAATGAAATTTGCTACGTGGTTAGTTTGCCGACGTGAAACATCTCTGTTTGTGTCTAATGGTATATACAAGTTATGATTACCCGGCAACAGTTTACACAAAATGGGCCGAAACTTCATCCATGTGTATACATCAAAAGGAACAAATCTTATAAACTAGTCTCTCAAAGGACAAAAAAGAATTCTTATGAATTAGTGTGATTTAACAGATATCATTGGGCTTCAATTGGTTTTAATATTTAAAATAGATTTTCTGGCTTTGACCAAGGCCCATTTGTTTTAACTACGAGTGGGTAAGAATCGGAGATTTATGGAAAGTGCATATTAACATCATGTAAATATATAAACTAACGGAGATAAGCTAAGAAAGTATCAACAGCAATATCAATGTTAACTATCTTCATCCTTAGTTAACAACAGTTAATATCAACACTAACGTGTATTGGAATTTGTAAGACAATATTAAACACAACAACCAGACAGAACAAACGGTGATTAAAATTTAGAAAGTTCTGTTTTGCCACATGAAGTATTGTTAAACAAAAGGGAAGATGAGAAAGAGAACTTGGAAGCTTCAAGATCCAACTCCACTATATGATCTTCCATCTGAAAACCTCCTATCACCATTTCAATCGTCTTCATAGTCACACCTCCATTCAAAAACCCTAAACAAACCACATCTCTCTTTACCTTAACCAGCGAGTTCCACCGATTGATCCTCCACTTAGCTCCACCTTTCACCACCAAATCAATCACCGGAACCACCGCCTTAACTCCCATCCCCTTGGAGCTGAAACATGCATCAAAAGGCTTCACGTTTGCTACTCTCAACATCTTGGCTTCTCTCGCAAAGTACCTAACCAAAGCCTTGTAGATGGTACCCTGCAAGACCGTGTAAGGAGCCAAAGTACATATCATCGCGTTTCCACGCCTTTTCATACCAAAAGTAACGACGTTTCCGGCGATTTCGATGGACATCACGTCGATGAAGTACCCACCAGTCGTTTGGTCAACTACGAGAGGCGTTGAGGCTATGTTCTTGGAGATATAGTTAGTGTAAGGAGAGACTCCTCCAATGTGAAGGCTTCCTAAACCGGCCGGTTTAGATGGCAAACAGAGAGACAACTTTCTCCGGTTTTCGTGCATCGATGCAAGCTGGTAAAGAAGTGACATCGACGAGTTTCCAAGACCGATGGTTCCGTTTACAATCTTTGGCATGAGTCTCAAGGTGTAAACGTTTATGGGGCAAGATAAAGTCAACGGAGAGTGGACGGAGTTATTGACGGCGTTAGGTTTCGAGGTGAGAAGAGAAACGGAGTCAGTACCGAGGAGTAGAGGAGAGTGATTAATGTTTCCGAGGTTTAGGTTTGTGTAGTAGAGACTCGTGGCTTTGTCTTTAATCAAGGGGAGTAAAAAAACAGGTGAGTTTGGTGTTTTGACGTCAGTAGCAAGGCAAGTTTGTAGGGTTAAGATGATAAAGAGTGGGAGCAAGTTGATCAAAGAAGTCATTGTTGTGTAAATTGACTTTCTTTATTCGGAAATGATATGGTTCCTACAAAGAAAGTGATGGTGTGTTTTATAGTAATCAAGTGATTCTCTGGTTATGTGAGTGACCTTTGGTAGCGTTCTGGGAAAGCTAGGTTACTTGGTAAGCTTTCTGGAAAAGCTAGGTCATTGGGTATCTTTCTTTATAAGCTTTCTATTTTTGTTATTTTCAGTGAAAGAAAAAACTATTTTAAAATAAAATCAGATAGTTGAGACCAAACTTTAGCATGTAAATATAAATAAAATTTTTTTTTTCTTAAACATTAGACTGACTAATAATAAATTAGACTTTTGATATTACTTTGTCTCATAAATGTTTAATATTCTCAAATATTATATGGATATAATTTTATAACAAAAGAAAATTAAAGATGTTTTAGTAGAAACGGTTATAATTTATTTAAAATTCGACCGGACCACATCCACATGTGTTATCTAAACATCTGATAAGTCAAAAGATCCATCATGTCTGGATGATTCTATTTACGGGAATGCCGCGTAGAGCAGCTAGTGTTATGAAGCAAGAGTGAGTCACTAAAAGCCATACGCGTGGTGCTAAAGTCGAAATCAATCATATAATCTTGAAGTTGATGTGTCCCAATGATCACAGACTCCTTTAGTTGCTTTCCTCCGTCAATGAACGCCAAGCAAATCACTGTCTCTAAAACTCTCACCACCGTATTCTCACCGTGAAAGCTCCACTTCACCTCCCCTGCCCTCCCTGGAAGCCCAATCTCTATCACCGGCACATTCTTCAGTCCCCTCTGGTTCCTCGTGGAAGCGCCTTCGTCAAAGCAGTCTGTAAATGGCTCATGTCCTGGGGCCTCAAACATTCCTATTTTCTGTGTAAATAAATTGAACCCATTTTATAAAACATAGATGAATAATAAATGTTAAAATATTTTTTAGAATGTTCACACTCATCAAAAATAATTAACATTTATTTATAAATATATCTAACATTTTCTAACTTTCAATATACGCAACTCCCAAATGTGACTATTATCAGTGAAAAAACTTAATATCTGAAATTTGTCACTATTAACTAAGTGTAAAATGTACATCAAGTTAATAATATATTTTGAAAGTAAAAGAGAAACTAAGTTTAGCATATGAAAACATATGGAGTATTTATTATCCAGATGGAGTAGTTATTATACATTCAAAAATGTGATTATTATTATGATTAAATATTTTTATATCCAAAGTTTGTCATTATTAATTAATAAAACGTACATAAACTAAAACCTTATCTTTAAAATAACAGTAAAATACTAAAAAATATAATTTCAAAACAGATTTCAAATCTAGCTTTTACATCAAAAATCATATTATTAATTTGTTCAACAATTAAAAGACAGCTTATTTAATACCGTTGCTTTTTGCGTAAATGACCGAGCAAGAGCGTTGTAGATATCCGTGTGTAGTACGGTGTAAGGAACCACCGTGCTCAGCTTAGCTCCTGCCTCAAGCAAACTTGGGTTCAACGATAAAGGGCTTCCACCAACGTAGAAGGACTTGACGGAGAGTAAATAGTCTCCATAGCCTATGTTTTTCAACGGCGTCAAAGTCATCGGAACCTTGTTATTACCACCTTTGGCGCCGCCTATGTATAAGTGACCATTGCCCGAGGAAGGCAAGCAGAGAGAGAACTTGGGGATGATGTTAAACGCCGTCGTCACTTGTCTCCAGAACGAAAACTGTCCCGGAGAAAGACCAAGAACTCCGGCAACTTGAGGAGAAAAGCCTTGGAAATGTTTCTCCTCGGCGCAGGAGAATGTGAAGTGGGAGAGGGAGGCTTTGGAGAAGGTGGCTCTGTCTTGAACGACACGGCCTGTGGTGAGGACGGGGGTTATGCCGAGAGGGGTTGGTTGCCGGTAAAGACAGGTTTTAGTTTTACCGTCGCAGCCGTTCCCGTGGAGGGATTTGCAGGTGGAGCTCTGGCAAGAGACAAGGCGAAGTGTTGGTGAAGGTTTGAGTTTGCGGCAGTTGAGCCACGTGAGGTCAGTTTTGAGGTCGAGGAGGAGGTTAACGGGGGATGGTGCGTTAAGAGTGGTGTAGAGTTGTTTGGTGGGTTCGTCTTTTGTGATTGGAAGAACGTATTGAGCTTCTGATGTCAGAGTTATGGTGGCAAACATGGAGAGGAAGACCATGAGGTGCACCATTTTTTTGCTTCTTATTAGTCTTTTGTTTGGTTGTTGTGAGGAAGATGGACAATAGATGTATGGTATTTATTGATCTAAGAACACGTTTTCGATCTAGGAAAATGAAAGATTAAATTATTTGAGTATTTTATTTCTTTATTTATAAAAAAGTAAAGTATCGTTTTTGGCACCATTGATGGCATCATACATCATGCATGAGACCATTAATTATATTTGGAAAAAACTGAGAAGATCAGTCGGTGTAGCATTAATTGGTATGGTAATAACTTAGGTGAGATCTACGTTATACTAGTATTATTTTGATCCATACGTACTCTTTTTTTTTTCCTAAAATAAGTACTTTGCTGACCTCATATAGCAAAATACAGTATTACTTCTATCTGGATCGAGAAATTGATATAAACAAATACATGAAACTGGAATAACGATCATCTTTAAAACTTCAAAATTAGAGATTGCCAAAGAGTTAACCCTAAGAACTAGCTTCAGATCGTATGATGTCGTCTCCTGTCCACAACTCTTGTGATAATCCGCGTTTAACTAGCATAAGCTTTGAATACTCAAATACGACTTCACTGCATGGCTGCTGCATGGATGAAAAAGAGGTGTGTAACAAAGGCCAAAATAAATAACTGAAATTTTTATTCTTCTCTCAAAATGAGATAGATGTGTTATCGTAATTTAATAATTATTAATAAAAAGAATTTATCGTATCACAAATTTCTGCAACTTTGATGGGAATCTGATCTCTGTTTGAAATATTTATACATAGGTAAGCAAAATAGTAAAACAAGAAACACTCTGAAAGAGTGGTCCCGGAGGCCAGAGCCATTAAGATTAGATAGAGTTTCAAAACTTGAAATTCAGTTAATTAAAGAAATCAATGAAATGACTCAATATGTCAAACTTTGATTCAATTTTAGAATTCAGTTTGAATTAATTCGTGTTGTTACAGTAGGTGAGTTTGCAACTTTTGAATTCAGTTTGGAACTTCAGTGTGAATTATTGATGTAGTCAAAGAAGCCACTATAACTTTCCTTCTTGGTTTGGAAAAAAATTCTGTTGATACTTGCTAAAATGGAAATGACGATATGCATATAGTATTCAAGTCCTTCTCGTTCACGTGATAACATTAGACTTTTCCTTGACAGCGTTGGACATTTGGTTTGTTTATTTCCTTAAAAGTTTCCACTTTAATATTATGGTTAGTCTTGAATGTATCATCTCTATCAAATATGTGAGGTACTTTCTGTAGAGTTAAGAAGAAATTTCAGTTAATTTTTCAACGAAATATTGAGTTGTTAAAATATTTCTAATAAATCACACACACACACACATATGTATATGTATATATATATATATATATATGTATACATGTTATTTTGAATGCAAAACAAAACCAAAAAAAAAGATTCAGTTCACATTTACATGATTTTGTTTTACTTACATTTATTTACATGACATCATTTAATTTCTGTTTCAAATAGATTAAAACGATGTTTACATTAATTTAGTCTCGTGCTGCTTTAATTGATGTGATGCTAATTAAGTTCATAAGCAAAACTCATTTCTTTGAATTTACAAATCAAAATATTTCAAGTTTCAAAACTAGTTAAATGAAATATAGATGATAGTTTAGATCTATACTCCAAAGAATAGATATTTCGAGATAGAGTAAAAGTAGTGACTCTTCAACCTTATATTTCCTATATACTCCTCTTAGAAAAGAGTAATAACTACTCTTGAAAATTGAAAATATCTAACTTTTTGAAACATCCATTACTTTGACATACATTATGTATATAATATGTTTATTATTCAGTGCGTAAATCTTTAAATTATCATCATTAATATCGAAATAGAGGAATGCTATAAAAAGATGTGAACACATAGAGAAGATATTATTCAAGAGCAACGGGATGATATCATAATTAATTTCATAATGTCATATATGAGACTGATTCTATTTTAGGAAGGCCAAGTGGAACAGGTTGTATTATGGAGCAAGAGTGAGTCACTAAAACCGAAAGTAGACGAGCTAATGTCAAACTCCAACATATAATCTTGAAGTTGATGTGTCCCAAATACAATCGACTCCTTCATATCCTCTCCGCCGTCGTAGAAGGCTAAACACATCACCATGTCACTCACTTTCACCATCGTATTAGCACCATGAAGTATCCACATTACTTCCTTATCTGTCTTCCCCAGCAGCCCAATCTCTATCTCCGGCACGTTCGGTCCGGTCATATCCTTTCCAGCGACGTTTCGTGCATCGAAACAATCTTTAAAAGGTGCAACGGGTGAGACCTTAGATATCCCCATCGCCTGTGTAATTTCAACCCAAAGAAAAATGTTAGTGTAATTCTAAATCTACTAATAATAACAATCCCCATTAATGTCAAAGGGTGCAAACCTCAATTAAGTTGAAAGGTTGTAATTTTCTATTTTTATTATCCTAAAAAGTCTTTTTTTAACATATATTTTGAAAGATTTTAATTTTGTAATAGTGTATAAAACTATTTTTTTCATTTAATGTGTATTATTTCCATAAAATGATTCTCTTTAAAATATATATTTGAAATAATGCATCTTTTCAAAAGTTAGTTAAAAGGATCATGTTTGAAATATATATTTTGAAACATTACATCTTTTCAAAAGTAAATTATAAAATATTTGATGATTTCATTTTTTTTGTAGGAAATAAAAATTGTTATCTCACGGTGGAATTTGGTCAGAGAACACAATCTAATGGCTAATATTTGTTTACTATAGAGCCATGATGTCATCAATTCAATCGTTCTCTTCAGTTCACAATCACAAGTCATAACTCCTCAAAGGCAACGCTTGCGGAACCGTTATCATCTCCTTGAAGAGTCGTGTCTGTTCACACTTATTAATAAATCGACGATACATGTTCGCAGGTTTTTTTGTAGCCCATTCATCAAATGCTCTCATTTTCTTTTTCTCTCTTTCTTTTTTCAACATCCAAATCCCGTCAAACTTTTTGTGAACATTCAATTCATAGATCTTCCATGCATCTTCTCTCAATCCATCCATCTTTGCACCCAGAATCTCAGAATCCTTTACGACATAATCGTATGTAAACCATTTGTTTGTTTTAATCAATTTCCAGTCATATGTCATGTCTGATTAATTTCTGCCTCTTGGATTTTTTAATCTTCTTCCTTTTATGGTATACGTATTTGTCTCTGCAGTATTTGCATGTCTCTGTGATCCGATCTCTTTTTAAATGGTCAGTAATGTGTGTGAGATGGAGTGAACTGCGCATTACTTTTGACTGCATAAAGCATAATTATAACGTTAGATCAAACGTTGTGCTGGTTGCATTAGAAAGAAGTTCCTGACGGTTTTGGTTGTGGTGTTATTGTTGACCTCCTGCAGTTGAACATGCAAACAATGGCAAAGAAGCCCCCGCTGCAGGCTCATGGGAAAGCGCCGGTGCCTGTGCCGTGCTGTCAATAGAGGCAGGGAAGAGGATGAAAGCGATGTTGAAGAAAAAAAAGCGGCGTTGAAGAAAAAAGAGCAGCGTTGAAGAAAAAAGAGCTATATGTGATTAAGAGGTTATAGGGGTTCCATTAGCACAACATAAGAAAGCGAAGACACATTAAGGGATGGAACTACGTTTTGAAACGGTCCGGTTGGTCTTGCGTTTGTTGCAAGAACTTTTACTTAAATCTCTTGGCTCAGTGTCCAAGCAATCCACAAATGAAATACCTAAACAAAAGTAACCAAGTATTTGAAAATACTTATGTTTAAAATTAGTATTGTTTCCTCCGCAGTCAAGTCAATTTTCTTTGTTTCGTATTTATTTTCCTAATTTTGTTTCATTAGTATTTGGATCGTGACGTTTTGACAGAAGTACTAATATGGGTATATATCGTGATTAACCTAAGTAATATTTTTCTTCTTATTCATTGAACTGATAAATATCAGGTGCAGCACTCATCTGTCTGTGCATGCGCTTAAGTGGGAAAGCTTATTACTACAAGTTTGTACTTGAAGAAGAAAGACTGCCTACTTTCGATAAGAATTCAACATTTATAATGTTACAAATCATTGCATTAAAATACATATATATTTTATTTTAACTTAACGTACACCTATGTAGATTATGCATTTGTCAACTTTTGAGTTTCGAGTGTATAAAAGGCTTATTTAACTATCTTGCCCATTGTCCCTCTGTAAAATAAGACCACTAACATATGAAGAAACCAACGAATTGTTAAGTAATGTGTTCATGATGTACTTCTAGATCACGAAGCTTGCAACTTGTCATGAAAGGAGAACCTCAAGTAGATTGCATAGAGGGGCAGGCGGAGTGAACATTCTCAAAGAGGTTCCATCAATGCATACACTATTTTCTCTGTATCCGGGGCTAGGATCCCTTGAATCAGAAAATTATTGTATATTATCAGTTTTTGGTCATTGTAGATATTAAGATTTATTGCTATTTGTGGTTTTAGTTTAAGCTTTAAATTGCATGAATTGGAATATATCTAGGGTGAAAAAATATTTTATTGGAATAATTATTAACTACAAAAAAAATTGAATCAATAAAAATTGTACCAATGATGCAATTTTGTCGCTTTTAAAAGTACGTAGTCATATATCAATAAAGTAGTCTAAATTAGCGTTTTGATATGAAATTTTGATTAGTAGTCTTATAGTCATACATCATTTTGTTACCAGCAAGTTATAAATGAAATCAATAAAAACCAACAAAAAGTAATGAAATATGGGAATTGCATACTTGACTGATAATTTACATATGACTGTGACATGCCCGTTTAAAATGTTTAAAATATATTTCTAATAAATTACACCATTTAATGTTGTCTTGACTGATAATTTAAATGTTTAAAATATATTTCTAATAAATTACACCGTTTAATGTTGTCTTCACCAACAATTAAAAATCTGAAAGAAACGATGTTAATACTTTTTTTTGTAAATGTCTGTATTACAAGATCAAGTAGTCTGAGACTGTTTGAGTAATTTCGAAGAAGCTCCATCCAGCCATGCGGGTATACATAAGAAGAAAACACCATTACTTCTTACCTCTTTGACAAGAAAATCTCACATGTCCTTGAGAATATGAGAGATGTTGAAACTCAAAAAAATGTCTCGTAAAAAACAGAATGAGACTAGCTCGAAGAAAAATACAGACAAGTCAAATGGATTAGCAATCATGTCTACTTTCATTTTACTATATGTAGATTGTATTGTAATAGTTAAGTTATTCTTGTAATATATATATTTTCTCGTTAGCAATTGTAAACAAGTTTTATAAAAAAAGGTTTTTTAATTAAATGTAACTTATTTTCTTATATAAAATAAGCTTCCGTGCGATATCGCACGGGTTCTTTACCTAGTTATTACAACAGAAATAATGAACAAAACAACATTCCTTCATTTTCTATGGTTCTTTGAGCGCAAGCGATCAACTTCTAATGTGTGAGCATAATCACATAAGTTTTTTTTTTATGACAATACATTAAAAAGTCTCATTTTATAATGTTTAGTCTTACTCGTAACTAAATACATTAAATATATTTTATTACAGAAAACTTTTTTTTTTGTAAATTTTTATGTGGTATTCATCATAAAACTGAATTAGGTTGACAAGATATGAGATTTATTCCATACAATATAAATGTCAAAATGAATTTTTTTTGGGGGTTGGGTAACGTAATTTACCGTTGCCTTGAGTGTAAACGCCTGAGCAAGAAAATTGTAGATATCGGTGGCGAGTACCGTGTACGGAACCACCGTGCTTACTTTGACAAGGATGTTCAACTCCAAACGAGACCCTTCAACGTTGATGGACTGGACAGAGATAAGGTAACCGTCTGATTGAATTGCCATAATCGTTAAAGTCTTAGGAATCGGACTAGTACTGTTATCAGCGACATAGAAGTGACCCGTGCCGTGAGAATGCAAGCAGAGAGACAGTTTAGAGATGAGGCCAAACTCCGACGTCACCTGTTTCGTGAACGACGAGCTTCCGGGAGAAAGGCTCAGAACTCCAGCGACCGCAGGGGGTAGACCTTTGAGGTCGTTGTCGCCGACACATGAGAATGTGAAGATGCGCAAGGAGAGTTGTGGGTAGAAGGAGGCTGTGTCTTGGACGACACGGCCCGTTAAGTTCTGGCTTATGAGAGGGTTAGGTTGCTGGTAAAGACATGAGTTTCCGTCGCAACCGTTTCCAGGGATGTCTTGGCAGGAGAGGCTGTCGCAAGCGACGGTGTGAAGAGATTTTAGAGATTGGAGTTTGTGGCAGTCGAGCCACGTGAGGTTGGTTCCTAGGTCGAGGAGGAGGTTTAGTGGAGATTTTAAGGTGGTTCCGATTTCGAGAGTGGTGTAGAATTGTTTGGTTGTTTCATCTTTTGTGATCGGAAGAAAGAATTGAGCTTGTGATGTGAGAATCATGGCCGTGAAAATGGAGAGGAAGCAAAGTCTACCCATCTTTGTGTTTCTTTAGGGTTTTGGTTTGTGATGAAGATGAACTACATAGATGTATGGTATTTATAGATGTAAAAACGTAGTACTTATTAGGATCTAAGAAAATAATGGTATTTATTAGGGATATATATCCCACATCGGGAATTCAATGGGACCTTAAGTAATATATAAAGGGTTAGGGCCAATCCACTTATCACCAATTGGTTTTAAGTTGGAAGCCCATAATAAAACCAATTGGTTTTAAGTTGGAAGCCCATAATAAACCCGAATCTAACATGGTATCAGAGCCCAGATCCTAAAAGCCCTAAACTCCTAATTAATTAATTAACCTTTCCGACCGGGTATATAGGTCGTGTTTAACCTTCCGACTAGGTATAATTGTCGTATTTGACTCGCTCGACCGAGTATAACTGTCTTAAAGTTCCGAGATTTCTGGCCGATAAGAGCCATCATCTCGAGGAGGGGTATTAGGGATATATATCCCACATCGGGAATTCAATGGGACCTTAAGTAATATATAAAGGGTTAGGGCCAATCCACTTATCACCAATTGGTTTTAAGTTGGAAGCCCATAATAAACCCGAATCTAACAGTATTCTGTTTAATTTTGTTTGGTGGCAATAGTAATGGTATCTTTTAATGTTTGAACGTTGGGTAAAATGATATTCTAGATTGAATTACGCGCTTTCTTACAAAAACGAGACTACGTAATAACCATGCATAATAATGCTTGAGAACAATTAATTATACTGGGAAAAAGGAGAAGATCAGTAGGTGTAACTGCATAGGCTAATTTAAGGAAGGAGCAATTAGCATTAATGGTACGTGAGGAATGCAAATTTTCAGTGCTGCTTATGGTGTACACTCACATGCATGGTGGTTTTACGTCAACGTCATATTTTAATTTCTATAATTTTAAAGTATTTTAACTGAGTTACCTGATCTTATTATAGCATAAGTGCACATTAAATTATTATGATCACTTCTTGCTAGATTGAAAAATTGATTAACAGATACATGAAAATGGAATAACCACCATATTTCAAACTTGAGCTCAATACGTTACATGTAACTAGGAAAATCTTGGATCGGCATTTCCTAGTAACATGTTACATGTTACACACACCTATTAGCAGCTAAATCTAATGCTAATGCTAATGCTAATTGGGTGGCTCGTGTGGTACCGTTCGGTCTCTGCTTCACGATTACGTCTTCGGCTGAGGTAGATATCTACAAGCGACAAAACATATGGTTGTCGGAGGAAGTAAACAGATGCAAATAGGTGTGTGTAAACTAATTTGGTTAACACCTGCAGCAATGTAAAGTACGCAGTGTGGCGTTCTAACCTGACATTAGAGCATTCTCAGAGATGTAAGTGATCTTTGCGAGAAGCGGTAAAAGCAGCAACGCCAAGACACCAGCGGCGGAGAAGACCACACTATAACACCATCACGGCATCAATGAACCGAACTAAAGAGCAATGATGGCAAAGACGACTCACCTGAACACGGGATTGTGAGCAATGAGAAAAAACTCTGAGCTGAACACTCGGTCTCACTTTAATATTTGGAGATTCATCATCAGTCTTCATATCCTCCTTCTCTGTCGCCATGATCTCCGATAAATCCCCGGTATGGTGAAAGCCGATATTGCATGGCTTGGGGATTGTAGTCGAAACGGGTCAACCCGGTTAGTGATTAGTGGGCTTGATTTAGAAGCCTTTGTATTGGATTTTGTTTGATTTGGTTTTAATTTCACTGACGGGACTGATTTCTATTTGGGTTATTTAGTGCCAAATCATTGATTTTGTTCATGATCATACTAATTCTTTCTTAGTAATAAGGTTTAATAATGTCAATATTGATCTAAAAACATATATATATATACCTTGATCAACATATGTTATGTGATTTTATTCATTTTTATTCCTTAGACACTAATAAAGAGTTTATTCATTTTTATTCCTTAAACACTAATAAAAAATATTGTTATTTTTTTTTAATTTTACATAAATTTAAATAATATCCTAATGAATAATGTTTATTGACCTTATGGTGTTAGGTTTACGTTAACATAAAGTCATACCATGTACACGTAGTTATACACACAAAATATTAGTAATCATTTTCAACAAACATTATCCTGATCGTTTCTGATATAGATGAATAGACAAAATAGTGATCACATATGACTTATGAAAATTATTCATTTATCATGTTAGGTTACCATCATTCGCTATCAAATATGATTCGAGCACCCAGAAAACAGCTATCATACTGGATATTTGCATGTGGCCCCAAAGAAAAACCTTGTACATATATGACATGTTCATATGAGATAATTATCTTGGTTTCGATTTTTTTTTTCCGAAATTTGTATGAAGATAAATGTTGCAAAAAGATATCAAAGTTGTTTTCAGCTTTTTTAGTTCCCACTCCCAGGTCCATGATTACCATTGGTCAGGTATGTCTTTCTATCTTTTATAATTTTCTTGCGAGGAGATAAGAAAATAATACAACTAGTGGGTTTAAAACTTTTTTATATAACATCATTGAGTATTTTGTTAACAAAATAATACCGTTTGTTTCCTACTTCTTTATAATATTATATTATAATAATTATTTCTTGATTGTGAATATAATTTTAAGTTTTTAGTTTGAATCTGATCGAAAAGTCAAAAACAAACTATATACATAGAAATATGATAATAATTCAATCATCCACATTCGTGGACACTGAACGACCAATAAACAGAAGTTGTCCACTCAAAATGTCAAACAGTGCAGCTCTAACATCAAGAACATCGACTAAACGAAATTTGTTTGGTATGCCCGATTGGTAATAGCCCTAATACCGAATGATGAAGAAGGAAATTAATTTTAAGTTGTCAAGTATCAAATGAGGTATGTTTGAGCTTATAAAAAAACGAAACCTATTGGGGGATGGATGGTCACGAATTCGTGAAACTTGAAACAACTAATAACTATTACATATATTTTAATTAAAAGTGTATATCAATAACGAACATTGTTGAGAGGTATAGACAAATGTTTTATTTGCTATACTCAAAGTCGGTTCTAAAAGCATCATTATCCACAGTTTTGTAGGTCGGAATTTTAGAGAAATATAATAAAGTATTTCTTAACTTTTTAAATGCCTACATCGTTAATAAGTATAAAGTTTTTGGTGAGTTTTTTTATTTAATTTTAAATAAAAGAGGTTTGGATCATAGGCTCTAGAGCATCTCCAACCCCACTCTAAAACCCACTCCAAACTCCATAACTCATTCCAAAATGGAGTAACAAACATGATTACTCCAAATATGGAGTAAACCTACTCATTACTCCAAAATGGAATTGAACTTTTTATTTATCAAATAGTCCTCCACATTTATATATGTTTAATTTTTAATAAAATATTATTATAAATAAGTACTATATATATTATAAAATTTACTGTTATATTCCTTAATTATATAAATAGCCTCATTTTTAATAAAATATTATTATAGATAAGTATATTAATATTATTTTACTATATATTAGAAAATTTACTGTTAATATTTCTTAATTATATAAATAGCCTCGTCTTTAATAAAATATTATTATAAATAAGTATATTAATATTATTTTACTATATATATTTTAAAATTTACTGTTAATATTTTTTAATTATATAAGTAACCATCTGATGAACTCTTTTATACAACATAATATATATATAATATAAAACATAAAAGATCATACATATAGAAAATGAAAGATAAGCAGCATACAAAAGAAATAACATAAAATAAAACTTACAACAAATATAATTGCTTAATAATCCGATAAATCATTTTCGGATCCATTAAAATTAAATAATCCGATAAAATATTATTAAATTCTTACATAACATGATAATAGAAGATGATTGTGATCTCGAGGTGCCAATTGAAGTTGAAAGAGAAGTCATGTCAAGGAAAATTGAAATTGAAGAAAATAATAATGTGAGGTTCCNAATTGCTTAATAATCCGATAAATCATTTTCGGATCCATTAAAATTAAATAATCCGATAAAATATTATTAAATTCTTACATAACATGATAATAGAAGATGATTGTGATCTCGAGGTGCCAATTGAAGTTGAAAGAGAAGTCATGTCAAGGAAAATTGAAATTGAAGAAAATAATAATGTGAGGTTCCAAAAGTTTCTTTCCCATTTTAGAGAAATCAAAGATAAAGAAGCTCATTTTTTATTTCGAAATGCATTAGTTGATCATTTGTGGGAAAATTATTATAATTCTAATGAATAATTTAGAATTGATGTATTATTGTGTTTAAGCTATATAATGTAATTTTTAATGTATTAAATGTATTCTTTAAAACCTTGTTGAGTAGTTTTATTTATATAATAAAAATTTAATTGTGGTTAATATTGTATTTAATAGAAGTGCTATGAATTTAAAATGGACTGTTTTGCAAATAGTATAAATGAAAGGTGATATTCCTAATTTTGAAATAAATATAATATTAAAAATATTCTTTTGGAGTAGAAAATGGAGTAATACATTGGAGTAAAACTCAACTGCATTTTTGAGTTACTCCATTTTAGAGTAGAAAATAGAGTAATACATTGGAGATGCTCTTAGTCTCTTCTATTGTGCCGGAAGCTGGAACAAGCCTTTACTGATATTAATTATGGCGTAAAGCCTTCTCCTCACTAGGTTTCGGACCAACAGCGCACCAACACTAATGCATATGCTAAACCAACTGACCTATCATATCTAGTGGTAGTTTTTGATGAAGTTGTTTCTTTAAAATGTATTGCAACTATGCTATGATACAAATGGCCTGGTTAAATGGTGTTACTAGCTTGTGATGCAAGATATTCTGCAGATTTAACCAAATCTTTGAAAACAAAAACACATTTTCTGGTATATAGAATTAATTTGAACCAATAATTTTACTGTATTAGTATTTTTTTGATAAATCCTATCGGCTGATCCAGTCGGTTTAAGAAAAAAATGTATTTAATGCTACAGAGTGGACTGATTACCATATTAATACCAGATGATGAACTGATCATCTTTACGATCCACCAAATAAACCATTTGAACTGAAATCCAAATCCAAACTAGTCAAATAATGATAATTTACTGTATTAGTATTTGTGAATATAATTTCTTAGAAGTGTGCGTGAAGCCTGAATTAAGGATACAAGCTACGTATGAAGAACGATTTATTATAACATTTCTCCGGTCCACATTGTGGTCTTTGGTAGTTTGGCATGGAATAGTTAATAATTGTATTTTATACATTTCTTGGTTGTTGTCACCAAACCTTTTGACTATGTTCCATGGGTTTTCCTTTTTGAATGTGTCATTTCTTCACGAATGGTCAAAAATCTTCAGCAAATCCACCCATCTTTGTAGTTGATTGTAGGCTTAGTTCTTCGTTCTTGGAGATTAATTATATATTGTTTATGTTACGTAATTCGGGAACAATTACTATTGACAATGTTATTTGTGCAAACATCTAATGCATAATAAGGGTTTGCTTTGTTTTAACTCACCATTATTTTTTGAATCAAATTATCAACTGTCAAATATTTCATTATTTATTCAGAATATAGAAAACAACAAATTTGTAACTTATAGTAACTCTTTAGCAAAAAAAGAAAAAAAGAAGAAGAAAAACTTAATACAACCTCCATAGATGCGGTAAACCATGATACCATATAATGATGCAGTGGGCCAATCCCAAAAACAGAAACAATGGGCGTACACAGGTCTAATATTCTATATTTCTTATTTTCTTCCTTCAACACAGATTCTTTTCTGATAATATTTCTATTCGTTTTTTGGTTCCAAACGAAACTAAAACTAAAGTTATATATAATTTAATTATTATTACAAATGATCCAAATTATTGAATTATGTAGCACAAACTTTTGAATCTTTGATTAATTTATAATGACTGTCTTGAAAATTATTATTTAATTAAAAACAGGAGAAAGTTCTTTTTCAAGCGAACATATATGCAGTGAGACACAGATAATATGGATCACCTAGCTGTATTTATTTCATTTGTTAAAGAAGTTTAAATTTTAGCTGACATATTTTAAAGTGTTACTAATTTCAATGATATTTCAAAATTATCAATGATAATAAATGTTCATTTAAATTAGGTATTGCTATTAAATTTCCTGATTATGGTTGGTAATTTCATTTCACTGAAATCTATTTATCTCCCGAAAATTTTAATAATCACCGATTAAATTTTATTTATTCTTTTATTTTTGTTACCAGTTTAAACAGTCAGGTTTCATCCCAAAAGTATTTTATGGAAAAGGATCATTATATGTTTATGCATGTTACATTTCACCAGTGACTTACATAATATTTATTTTCATTATGAACTTTTGCTGGATTTCCTATAAAAGTTCTGAGAAAACATGGCGTAGAAAATGGTAGACAAGTTATAACTTGTAAGAACTGTATTTATTAATTAAAGTGAATGCTATCTTTTTTTTCTTTATCACGGAAAGTGTATCTTAGCTTAAAAATGGAGAAAAAGTTTAATTTCAAATAATTAAATATTTAGATAATCACAAGCAGATTTACAGTAATTATAACTTGTGATTTTCTAAACACTTATATCCACAATAGTTAAATAAAAATGTTATAATCATTGGAGTAAATTTCAGTTACTCTGTATTTGAAAAGGAGATGGATAAGACAAGAGACCACAAAGGCAGCAATAGGTCCCGACAAAAACTAGAATCTAACGCTCGAGAATGATTCCATCTCTTCCATGTGGGAGTTACGTATTCGTGTGTCACCTCCAGACGTATACACGTCAATATCAATACATTAAAATATCAGTGTAATAAGAAACACGAAGAATCAATAAAAAGATTCAAAACTATAAATTACGAAAATACCCACGATCTCCTTGGTCACCCTCCTATATTAAATTAACACCATCTCTCTCATTTGTCTCAACCTCCATATTCATTGTCCCATATATCTCAAACAGAGAGAAACCCAAAGATTCAGCAAGTAGTTGTTGTTATCATCGGTGGGGATATAAAATGTTGGGAATTTTCAGCGGAGCTATAGTATCGTTGCCGGAAGAGCTGGTGGCCGCTGGCAGCAGAACTCCGTCGCCTAAGACAACCGGGGCGGCTCTAGTGAACAAGTTCGTCGAGAAAAACCCCTCTGCTGTATCCGTACAAGTCGGCGACTATGTGCAGCTTGCGTATACTCACCACAATGAGAGTCCTCTCCGGCCGAGGTGAGTCTCCTGCGATTTACTTGTATTCATCTCGTTGTACCGTCTGATTAACTCGATCGGACGGTGGTGAAATCATCTTCAAGTGTTTTAACTTCGTTGAGATTAAAATTAATCATCTTCTTTAAATACGTTGACAAATAGTAATAATGAAAAAAAAGTAACGTAGGGTCCAGTTGCATGTATCGACCAATTAGATCCTATTTCGTTTCGATTCTCTTATCTGAAATTACAGAGAAGAGAATATTAGTGAAAATCATTAATCAAATTAATCCTGAAAATAATTTTGGTTTATCCTGTAAATAATATTCGATCTATATGATGGGGTTATTATTCTCCTGAGCACCCCCACTGAACTTAGGATGATGTGTTTTGTGGTGTGGTGTGGTGTGGTGTGTGGACCCAAACAATAATGAAAGAGTAAACTCCAAATATTTTTCTAACATATGCATAAACAAGGAACATCATAGAACATAGGTAAAGGTAATTAACTTTTATAAAAAACTATAAACTCTAAATTTCTAATTCATTTAAGAATCTTAAATATATTATATCTGAATACTTATTCAAAGTATAAGATTCCAGTAGAGAATGAGTTCTAGTAAATAACGTACACCTTAACAAAAAAAAGTAAGTAACGTGTTTATACTTTTTATGTAATTATATTCATGACCAAATTATATATAGATTGAAAGGTCCAAAATTTTAGATACCTTAAAAAATTTAGAGGTTGGCTTTGTCGGTGGCACACAAGGACACGTCTCAGAAGTTGTGTTGATCACCAAAGATGATTCACAAGCTTCTCATGACTCATAACTGACATGCTCACGTCTCTGAGACATCGATTTCTTATTGGAAACACACTAAAAAAAAAAATCAAAATATAATAGAAGAAAGTAAAGAAGATCATCTAGGTTGTGGTAGAAAATATATATTACGCATTAACCATACAACTGTAGACAAAATTTGGTCAGAGTTCAGAGATGTAGACGTCTACATGCGCATGCCATCACAGTTAATAAATAAGATCAGTAAATCACAGACCAATGATGTGGTACAATCACCCTAGTTACTATCCATAAAATGTTTTCTCAGTGAGATGACCAATCAGATATCATGTGGTAAGAAAGTTATATCTCACAATTCACCCACAAATATCTATATAGTTAAATAAATTAAAAGGACAGTATGTGTTTTGGATATGACACGGTATGGCCAATCTACAAAAGCAGTTTTGGTTGGTCCACCAAACCCTATAAGGCTATTAAACCCCACAACTATGATTATACATAGCCTTATGAATTATGATGCCTCATTTTCTATCTTTAGTACTTACCCCATATCAGATACCAATACATCCATAATTGCATGTATGTTTGAACAACATCACTAATTCTGACTATTCTCCATTTAACAATTGCAATACTTTTCATCAAATGGGTTTAAAGTCCAAACCATTATTTTGCTCCTCTAGAATCTCAAATTGAGTTAGTTTGAACTTTGTGAATGTATTTATAGGCTTAGGCTTGTTTTTAAGATGTTGTTTTTTTTTCGAAATGGTACAGGTCATTTGGGGCTAAGGATGAGATATTCTGCTTGTTCCAAGGCTCGCTTGAGAACCTAGGAAGCTTGAAGCAGCAATATGGGCTTGCAATGAATGCAAACGAGGTTCTCTTGGTCATCGAGGCTTACAAGACTCTCCGTGACAGAGCTCCTTACCCGGCTAACCACGTTGTGTCACACCTAAGTGGAGATTTCTCCTTTGTGGTCTTTGATAAATCAACCTCCACCCTGTTTGTAGCCTCTGTAAGTTCTCTTTAACCCTTTTTCACTGTACAAGGTAGATTAAATTTGGCGGTTAATTTTGGTTTTAATATGCTGCAGGACCAAGTTGGTAAGGTTCCATTGTATTGGGGGATAACAGCTGATGGATATGTGGCATTTGCTGATGATCTTGAGTTGCTAAAAGGTGCTTGTGGCAAATCACTTGCTTCTTTTCCTCAAGGTTGGTTTTGTTATTGCTTTAAGTCCAAGACTTTTACGTCACTACAAGCTAATACTAGGAGATATTTGAATGGTTGTCTGTGTTGCAGGCTGTTTCTACTTGACTGCGTTAGGTGGGCTTAGGAGCTTTGAGAACCCTAAGAATAAGATCACTGCCATTCCTGCTAAAGAGGAAGAAATTTGGGGAGCTACCTTCAAGGTAATTTGATTGATTCTTCAATAACATGTCATATCTTAGTTTTAAATTATTTTTAGCAGCATTTTAAGAAGGCTCATAACACAAAACAATGGTGGTTGAGCACAGGTGGAAGGAGAAACGGTGCTTGCAGATTGAGAATGAGAAAATCAAGATTCATCTCTCTTAATATTGAAACTCTAACAGCAAAAAAATAATGATGTAGAGAAAACAAGAAGCTGTTTTATGAGTTCTTTGAAGCTATCGATGGTTGGTGATGATGTGTGTAGTGTTGTGACTCTCTTTTGTCTTCTGCTTCTTTGTACAGCCCGTGTCTGTCTCTTCTGGTGTTTTTAGTGTTTCGTCCCAATAAATTTACCTTCTCTTGATGCTTGGATCTCTTGTTCAGTACTTTTTTCTCAAGTAAATCTCGCAATTCTCAGTCTGTCTACACTCTCAAACATGGATATGTATGAAGTTATACTGAGATTGGCAGAGAATGGATCTATAGTATTGAGTTATAGGTCTTTATTTGATAATCACAACAGTCATTGAGAAGACTAGCACAGTAGCACTGAGACAAAAGAGAACAGAAACAGGAACAGCTTTTGAAGTTTCTCACAGACAATAAGATGTGTAGTAAAAGGCAAGACCAACTCTAGTGTTCTACTTCTTCTGCAGACTAAGATGCAGGGCAGATATCCTCCAAAATGTAGAAAGAACCAATTAACACCTAAACGAAAAGTTTTGGGAATTCTCTGATAGCAGAAGCTTCAGTAATAAACAAATCCATACCTCTCCCCTAAACATTCAATAATGTCGCTTGTGAGAGTTGGTCTCTTATGTTTTGTAAAAGCCAGAGATGCAGCCTTCCTCAGCAGACCAGATGCAGCTATAGATCCCTCCGTGAGACTGACATTTTCAGTGTTGTTCAATCAACGATTGAGCTAGAAAATGATTGGAGATGAAGTGATAAAGGAGATATCTAACAACCTTTTCATGACCTGATATAAGCTGTTGCGCTCATGACATAAACACTGCGACACTAGATGAAAAACCAAATACATGAATTAACTTTCAAAGAATAGTGAACTCACCTCCCAGAGAGGGTATCACCTTGTCCACCACATCGTCTTGGCGAACCATATATGCTCACTGACTTTACTGCAAGAAATAGACATAATCAAACTTGACATTTTCAACGTTTTCTAACAGAGAGAAAAAGTCAGAGAAAAAGTTACTCACCTATCTCCCCATTGCTTATAAGATCAGATATGCCTTTCCTCAGAATCGTTACACCACCAATCCTGAATGACATAACCGTTTTTCTTTCAAGACTTCTAAACTGAGTTGTGTACTTACTGCTTGGCCAAAGAGTGTAGTTGATCTTCAGCATGATGCTCATCTACTTTACAATTCAGCACTTTCTGACCAAGACGCTTATACTCATTCACATTTGGAGTCAAGACAGCAAGCGGATAGCTGTTGACAAGATCAATGGAGTTTGTTACAAGAAACCGCCCGTCCTGAAGAATCGTCAACGAAGAGACCAAACATATAAGAGAAGAGATAGATCCAATCTTATATGTATATATATAACTGCTTACCCCATCTACAACAAAAGGAGCATTGAAATTTCTAGCTAGAAGCATGGTTTTACCCACACATTCCTGGAAATACAGAGTCGTGTCAAGTCAAGCACCAAAGGTCCAAAGCATTACGGTAATGTGATGAAGCAGGGGGGGGGGGGGGGAGGAGTATGTACCAGGAGAAATGGATCCCTTCCCAGACCAGGACCAATCACAAGGCAATCAAATCCTTCCATCCATTTATCCACTTTCTCCTGGACTTTTCTTTTCTATTCCTCACAGAACTGACTACATCATAACAAGATATATAGATTGAAGTGACCATTTGAATCTGAAAATTGTATTACTTGGTTAATACAATAAAATACTTGGATAAATCTAGGAAATAAACTCCACTAAACTATTCCATTAACTACATGATGTAACTTGGGTCCTAACACAAGATCAAGTTACATAAGAAAATGAGCTTTAACATAAAAAAGACTCAAAACTTTTTGAAATTTCGAATTTGATGATCACAGAATTACAGGTAGAGATGAAGGAGAGAGTTTGTGGAGCATTGGTACCAAGAACTGTTTTGTCTTCTGAGCAGAGTTGGAACAAAGTGAATGAGAGAACTCAAACGCTGCGATACAGAACCAAAGGAGAGAGAGTAACCCTCTGTGTGAAGTGGCGGGTCTTTAATTGTTTATAATTTTCAGGGAAAGAGAAAGACTTTGAGAGAATCGGAGAAAGGGAGAGAGGGGAAGGAGATGAAGAGGACGGCGATGGACAACGCGATTCGATCATCGGTGGTGGTTTTGGGATCACTGGCGTTCGGGTACATGTCACTTGAGCTTGGGTACAAGCCTTTCCTTGAAAAGGCTGAACAATACGAACAATCTCTTCAGTCTCAAGCTTCTCAGCAACAACAACAAGGTCTTGTATTTACTCTCTCTGTCTCTCTTTCAAAGCTCAATTCTTTCGTTTGCGTCTGTGTAATCAGAGATAGATTTACGCCGTGTCAATGATTGATGCTCCATTTAGTTCTGGACTGTGCAAGTTTTCAATGTCTCATGATGCTCAAAGTCTTCTGTTTTTGGTCGGATTCAAGTGAATGGTTTGATAGTTAGTTGAGATGCTTGTCGAGGTCTTAGTATTTTTGAGAACTGGCAAAAGAAAGTATGGATCTTTTTTTGCGGATCACCAATAATCACAACACTTTCACGCTAATGCAGTGTGAGAGAGAATACGAGAAAATGATTGGCCGTTTCAGTTTGTTTCCTGGGATGAGTGAGCTCTTTATGTTCTTAGTCACTGTGTCTTAAATGATGTCTGTTTAGAAGCTCTAACTTATAGAACTTTGATACTTCGTAATGTTTTTTCTTACTTCTCTGATGTTGTAGATGGACAAGAAGAAGGGAGATGGGACAGTAACAATATCGAGGGATGGGAGGAGAAACGATAGATCATATGAGGACAAAACCTTTGAATGTGAAAGGAAGAAACCTTGTCAGACACTTGCTTGCTTTTGGTTTCTTCATCTCAGATCATTTTGTAAACTATTCACCACCATTCCCGGTTTTCTAATCATTCACTCAGTCTTATTCTGATACGGTTTAGTTAGGAAATTACTGATTATATTGATAGAATAGGATAATTGTTTACAAGGTTTGAGAGAAATTATAGAGTCTCTCCATGAACATGATGATCAAACTCTTGATAAAAGATCTCTCTAATCTCATCTTATATACTAATGAGTAATGGTTATCTTAGGTTAAAAGATATTTAGCCTCCGTATCATATTATTCTAATTCTTAGATATAGCCTCCGTATCATATTCTTACCCCAAGTTTAGTACAATTTCTCTAAGTTTTTTTATGAAGAAACTGAAGGAATTGTAAGAACACAATCTCTGTTCTGTAAGATAATGGCTTTATCTAAAGCAAACCATGCATTGTGAAGTCGAACTACAGTTACAGGTTTTCTTTGTAATCATTATATTCGTTACCAGTATTATTTTGTTCAATTATGGTATAAAGTTTTATCACAAAGAACCTTTTCCTTATTTTCCACATCCATACAAATATTTTATATACAAAAGTGAATTTCTTGACTTGACTTGGCTGTGTATCATTAATCATTTTACGCGTCTTTACTCTTTTCTGAAGTTATTTCTTCTTCCAATCTGAAAGCTTTGTGATCATATTCTAGGTGCTGTTTGTTATTCATGGCTTCTTCTTCGTCTATGTCTCGCACTTGGATTCATGATGTCTTCCCGAGCTTCCGTGGAGGAGACGTGCGCGTAAAATTTCTTAGTCACTTTCTGGAAAAGCTCAGAAGCAAGGGAGTCAGGCCTTTCATTGACAACGAGATTGATCGAGGCCAACCTATCGGTCCCGAGCTCATACTAGCGATCCGAGAATCAAAGGTAGCCGTTGTCTTGCTCTCCAGTAACTACGCTTCTTCAAGCTGGTGTCTGGATGAGTTAGTGGAAATCATGAAGTGCAGGGAAGAGAATCAACAAAAAGTGATGGTCATTTTCTATGAAGTGGATCCAACTGCTGTTAGGAAGCAGACTGGAGATTTCGGAAAAATCTTTGATGTAACATGTAGGGGAAAAACAGAAGAGGTGAAACAGGCATGGAGGCAAGCTTTGAAAGATGTCGCGGGTATAGCTGGTTATCACTCTAGCAACTGGTTCGTTCACTTTTACTTGCACTTGCAGTCTTGCATATATATTTTTTGAATTGAAAAAAAAAAAATATTCTACATCTAGTGTACCATTTTAAAAAAGACTAAATGAAAGCTTCTACTCTTTGCCTATATTTTCCTTTTTTTTTTGTAACACAAATTTCATCAATTAAAACTTAAGGACCCAAAGGGTTCATTACAGAATTTCCAGAAAACAGAGCATGTTTAGCCAACCGATAGGCATCGACATTTCTTGGTCTCCCCTTTGCCTATATTTTCCTATACTCTATTTTTACAACTGTATCCTGTGGCAAACCAAAATGCCATTCCTCCTTCCTCTGACTAATAGTGAACATGTTCCTCATATTCTTGTCTAGCATCTTGATCAAACGTATAGCTACTTCTTCATGATGTCTGTTTTAATAGTTAGCCTCTGTTTTTGTTAGGGAAAATGAGGCGGAAATGATCGAAAAAATTGCCTCAGATGTCACGGATGTGGTGGGTCTCACACCATCAAGAGATTTTGATGACTTTGTTGGCATGGAAGCTCGTATCATGGAGATAAACTTGTTGTTGAACCTAGCAGCAGGTGACGTTAAGATTATAGGGATTGTGGGTCTTGCTGGGATTGGTAAGACGAGTACTGCCAGAGCTTTGTTCAACCGATTCTCTCGTGATTTTCCATTCAGCACGTTTATTGAGGATATCAGAGGAAGTAAAGAGATGCCTTCTCTCTGTGGATCCCATCATCAATTTCAGTTGGATTATCAGAAAGCATTACTGTCTCGGATTTTCAACAAAAAGGATATTGAGGTTGGTCACTTGGGAGTGGCTGAAGAAAAGCTGAGAGACAAAAAAGTGTTGATTGTTCTTGATGAAGTGGATTGTTTGCTGAAACTAGAGGCAATGGCAAAAAGGCCTGATTGGTTTGGTCCCGGAAGTATGCTTATCATTACAACCGAAGATAGAAACCTTCTCAACAAACTCAACATCAAATGTATTTACCAGATGAAACTTCCAAATCAATTTGAGGCATTTCAGATCGTCCGCCAATATGCTTTCGGTCAAAAGTCTCCCTTTGAGGGTTTTGAAGAGCTTGCTTGGGAGGTTACTGAACTTGCTTGCAATCTTCCTCTAGGCCTGAGAATCATGGGATCGTATCTACGAGAAATGTCCAAGGATGACTGGAAACAAGCAATACCAAGGCTCAAGTCTAGCGTTGACAAGGGAATTGAATCAATTCTAGTGTGTGGATACAAAGGCTTACCTCATGATAAAGATAGAGATCTTTTTCTGTACATCGCATGTTCCTTTGTTGGTTCAAAGGTTGATGACGTTAAACGATGGCTTGCAAATTGTGGTTTGGACGTTGACCATGGGCTTCAAGTCTTAGCTGATAGGTCCCTTATATCTATAGAACAGGGATGGGTAAATATGCATCGTTTAGTGAAACAAATGGGTAGAGAAATTGTCAAGAAAGAGTCGTTGAAGGAGCCTGGAAAGCGACAGTTCTTGTGGGATACCAATGATATTTCTGATGTACTTGAAGAAAATACTGTAAGTGTTTATTTTTTCTTACATCAGCAGTCTCCTTTAGTTTCCTTGGGGGTTTGTAAGCTGAGATTTATTAGTTATTTTCCAATAATCTAATTCTTAGGGTACTGGAACTGTTCTTGGCATAAAGTTGAAAAAATCAAAGGGAGAGGAAATCCGAATAAGTAAAAGTGCTTTTGATGGGATGAATAATCTCCAGTTTCTACATGTCTCCCATGGCATTTATAAAACCTTATACATACCCGAGGGCCTCAACTGTCTCCCCGACAAACTCAGATTGATACATTGGAAAGACTGTCCATTGAGATTTTGGCCTTCCAAGTTCTCTGGCAAGTTTCTTGTTGAACTATCCATGCAATTCAGCAAATTTGAGAAGCTTTGGAAAGGAATCAAAGTAAGAATTATTCAGCAATTTTGTTCTTTGTATTACCATTTCAGGTAAAGCGCAGTTAGTTAATTCTCTAAAACTTCTCTTTCATTTTTGGGTTTAGCCTCTCCAATGCCTCAAGCTGATGGATTTGAGTTGCTCTCAGTACTTGAAAGAGATTCCAGATCTCTCAAAAGCAACTAGCCTCGAGGAATTAGATCTCGGTGGCTGCAGAAGTTTGAAAAAATTCAGTGGTTGCTCGAGTTTAAAGCATCTCAATCTGCGGGATACTGCGATAGAAGAAATGCCATTATCAATGAGCACTTGGTCTTGTCTTTATAAATTGAATATGACAGGGTGCAGAAACCTCAAGGAGTTCCCAAACGTTCTAGACAGCATTGTAGAGTTGCGGTTGAGCAGTACAGGGATAAAGAAAATTCCTCCATGGATCGAGAAGCTATTTTGTTTGCGTAAACTAGTTATGGAGTTGTGCAAGAAGCTGGAATATATATCTCCAAACATTTCTAAGCTGGACAATCTGAAGTATCTCTCTTTGAGTTTCGAGTGTCTCACTCAGCATCCCGACGAATGTGATGACAATATAAGTGAAGAAACACGCTTGTTTGAAGCAATAATCAAGTGGGGGCCTGATGACTTGAAGTGCATTTGGAGATTACGATCAGACTTTGACATTGACTACATTTTGCCGATATGTCTACCCGAGAAGGCTCTTACATCTCCAGTATCCTTACGTTTCCGCAGTAATTGTTTCAAGACTATTCCAGATTGCATTGGACGTCTTTCCGGCCTAATTAAGCTTGATGTCAAAGAATGCAGCAAGCTCGTATCACTCCCCCTGCTTCCAGGTTCCCTTCTATCTGTTGATGCACAATGGTGTGTATCCTTGAAGAGAATAGACTCTCCTTTTCAAAATCCAAAAATTTGCCTAAATTTTGCTGGCTGCATCAAACTGAATAAAGAAGCGAGAAAGCTCATCCAGACATCGGCTTGCAAATATGCGCTCTTACATGGTAAAGAAGTGCCTTCTCACTTTAACCACCGGGCTACTTCAGGTTCCTTAATGGTTAATTTGACTCCAACACCTCTTCCTTCATCCTTCAGATTCAAAGCTTGCATCTTGCTGTCAGAAGACAACAAAATTAATTCCAAGAGTGATAGTGATGACGATAGGGAAGAGTGCGTATATATAAGCGATGATGAAGCGCATAATAATTATCCATCGTCGCGTGTGTCTTGTCGTGTCAGTGGTAAACAGAATGATCTCACTGTCAGATATGGACCAATCAAGCTCCATCTTATGCCAAATCTATTTAAAATTTCAAAGTATCTATACATATTTGAAGATTCTGTCTCTCTAAACCAGGATTGTCCTGAAGCCGAAGAAGTCACTTTCTGCGAGCTTTGTTTTAAGTTCATAGTAAATAATAACTTCTGGAAGGTCAAAGGCTGCGGTGTACTACTTTTGGATGAAGTCCCTCATTGTATTACTGATGATGGTGCTGATGATGGTGACGATGACGAAGATGAAAGTGACGATGATGATAATGATGATGGTGACGATGACGATGATGATGGTGACGATGATGATAATGATGATGGTGACGATGACGAAGATGAAAGTGATGATGATGGTGCTGATGATGATAATGATGATGATGACAAAGATGAAAATGATGATGATGGAGATGATGATGATGACGAAGATGAAAGTGATGATGATGGTTCAGGTTCGAGAACAGGGATGTTTTGTTTCAATTATCGAAAGAAGAAGAAAGGAAAATCAGATTCAAAAAAGAGAGTATTAAAAAGACTCACTTAGGTCTTAAGAGTCTTTGCAGTCAGTTAAGAGAAGCAGCTCAAGTATAAATCAGACAAAGGAGCAATCGTCTAGGTTAGGCCAGCTTAACGGAAAAGAAAGTGAAGAGGAAATTCTATGGGCATAATGAAACTGAAGGAGAAGCGTGATGAGGATGTCGAAACGGGGGACTAGGAAACGCGTGATTAGTTGAGCCATGCACAGTTGTCGATGCTTCTCACCAGTCAGAACACTTTAGAGTGTTTTTTTCTGAATACTTTTTCCTCCTCCAGTTTGTTTCCGAGTACTGTGTTTCCTTTGATGAGTAAGCCCCTCTGTGTTCTTTTGGTCATTGCTTCTTAAATGTAATCTATGGTCTGTTTAGAAGCTCTAACTTAGAACACTTTATGTTCTTACTCATTACTGCAGAAGGTTGTTACTTTTAGGAAGGAGCGAAAGGTGAGGATGAAAATGTCCTGTGGACGAGCTCTGAAGACTGTTGTGACATTGGATACAACAAGAGGTTGATTCAAACAAAACACAAGTTTTTTTCATGCATTTGCTGCCTTGCAGTTCAGGTTTGTTGCACATAACTAGACACATGAATCTTTGATCAGTTTTAAGTCCAGTTTATTTCAATTCAGGGAAGGAGATTGGCCAATGCCATATGGAAGCACTGCCTCATTTTGGATATGAATTTTTTTTTATATGATTGAATAAGTGATATAATATGAACTCCATGGTTACTTTTACTCGGAAAGTGAATGATAAATAAATAATTGTGTCAAGCTTGCTTGGGATATCGTTCATCAAGTAGGATAGGCGTGTGACCCTACTTTCACTCAGACACCATCCTCAGACCATATCACATATATATAGAGATTCTCTATCTCTCTACAGAATCAAAATTATGTGCTGTCCATTTCCTAGATTGCACACCACAAGCTGTCTTTAGATGTGGCTGTTGTAGGATCTCATAGCCATAAATAAGACCCTTAATAAAGATTTCCTTAGGGCTCCATCAAAGATAGTTGTTTTGTTCTTTTTTGTTTGGTTAATATCATGATGAATATTGAAAACCAAGGGTATCTAAACACTTGTTGGTTCAGTTCATTTATTTTGATCGTAAATTAGTAAAACTATAAACAGAGTGGATATGAGTTGTTTTTTGAACTTTGATTTCTATCTTTTAAACATTTAACAACTGGATAACATCAATACACAACCAACCTCCTTCTGTACTTCATGTTGTGTGTGTACTGTGGGGACTTAAGCCAGATTAGATTTACAATGTTCAAAATCTTTTTCCTTTTGTTTTCTCTGGCCCCACTCTCCCACCCACATGCTCTTCTCTCTCTTCCTTTCTCATAGGGCCAAATATTTTCTAGCCTATATTTTTGACTCTTTTAACATTCCCTCAATCTCCACTCCAAGCAAAGAAAAACACACAAGACTTACAGAGTCTTAGGAAAACTAAGATATATCTATGGCTATGGAGTTAGAGCTTGATGATGATGTCTTCTTTGCAGACATAAGCAAACAGATCTCTCTTCTCATTATGGATGAAGATGAACAGTTAAACCCTGTTTCTCTCTCAACCTCATCACTTGCGTTCCAGGTTTGTTTCTCTGTCCACACACTCTATCTCTCTCTCAAAACATACCTCTATCTAACTGAGTGTTTCTTGAATCTTTCTGGAAGCAGGGCATGTTCAGAGGAAGCTACCAAACAGCTCCTTATATGTATCATCAAGAACCAAGCAAAGGAACCGGTGTGTTCATTCCTAAATCTTCTCAGTCCAGAAGAAGACCGCATCATCTGAACCAAGTTAGGTTTATTTCCTTCAACGCCAAGCAGCAAAACACTCTCCATCAAAACAAACAACAGTATCAGGACAACTCAAGGTGTACTCGCACAACTCATAACAACAACAAGAGCATCATGATCACTAATAATGTTCATGCTTCTATCCCTAGAAGAACCTACAGAGATGCAGCAGCTATCTACACTTGATTATTTTTTAACAAATATTCTGCATTATTCATCGTTTTTGTGTGATTGATTCATATAATTATATATAGATGCATAAGATTTATTTATTTTTAGATCAGCAAATAATAACGATTCTTCCATAAGGAAGGTCTTGGAGATTTGTTCCAAGTTTGTTCTTGTTTTAATGTAATTCTTTCAAGTCATTTAGAGATATTCACTGACTTATCTCCATTTGTAAAATATGTTCAAGGATTAAATTTAAAATCAACTTGTGAAAATCCTGTTGGATGATTACAACTAAGATTGAAGGAGGAATGTGTAAAGACAAGCCACATGTGGAATGAGCAAATGTTCTGTGTCTCTTTATCTCTGTCCAATCAAATCAAATATCTTTTGGACATCACAGACGAGTTTGCCACACTGTCTGAATAAATAAAAAGGTCAGATATAACTAATAAGACTGTCACATGCTCACACACCTTCTTGTCCTGCTGCCACTCACACTCGCATGCCCATCTCTCTCTCCCAAAATTCATTCTCATTCCCTTAGTGTTTCTATTTAGAGCAAAATAATATGATGATGAACTCTCCCATTTTTCAGCTCTTAATAGTTTTGAGGACATATCGCATATCCACTTTTTCCTTTCTTTTTATGTCAACACATAGGTAACTCCGAGAACTATACAAGTTCACACAGACAATAGTCACAATAGACATTACTGTTTAATCTAATTATCTAAACATCAACCAAACTCCCAACATCACACATTAATTCACCATAGATGAAATGAAAATGGAAATCATTAAATAAAGAAGTAGAGACCAGACCAGACAGGCTATACTTTAAAAAACATTAATATCAATAACAGCCAACAACCTTCAAGACAAGATTTGAGAACAGAAGTTTAAAAAGAAAAAAAAAAATTGAAAACAGACAGAGTTACTTTGATTCATATGACTAAGAAACTATAATATATTTTATAGGTGGCGGTGGAATCATTCATTACAAGATTCTTTTCAGTGTTTAGAGAGTTAAAAAAAAGCAGTAAGATATGTATTTCGGTGGTGATTAGAGAGTTTTAACGTTGAAGTAATACAAGTATACAACCACGGAAAAGTGGAGCACATAGCAAATTAGCTTGGTCAGCAAAGATTCATGAGGATCAGGCTTTTGTATAGCCCAAGCATAGTTACATAACTACAGTGAACTACTTCATGCTTCTCCTTCCAAATTATTTTTTTTACTAATCGAATATCTTAACCCCACCGTAATGGTCCAGATTAGAAATCGAGGTGAACATGGATCCAAAAATCATCAGGTAACTCACCATGTAACGGTTTTCGGTCTCGGATACTACAGTCCATATATAAATTTCGTAATGACCAAGACTCAAATCCGCACTCCAGCTAGAGTTCCTTTAACACTAGACCAAAATAATTTGGTTTCTGTCCAAACTTGAAATTGAATTCCAAATTTGTTTTATAAGCTCATAACAAAGTTATGTGATAAAATTACAAAATTGGCCCAAAAATCAATCCCAGTAAAATTAACAAGTAACTTATCAATAAGTAAAAAATTTCAACGACACTAAACCATACCATACCAAAGCAAACCGCGATTTTGTCACAAGTTCAATTTCGTTATCCTTCTTCTTCCTTTCGTTCGTCGGAGGTAAGTTCTCTCATCAATGGCGTCCCAGCAGCTTCTCTCTCTCCCTCCTTTCTCCCTCCTCCCTAAAGTCTCACCCTTTCATACTTCCCTCTTATCAACACCACAAAAGCTTACTCTGTTTCACTCTACTACTTCTTCGTCTCTCCAATCCTCCTCCAATACTCGGATTACTAATCTCCAAGCCGTCACCGACACTTTCTCCGAAACAGAAAGCAACACTCCCACTGAAACAACTGCTTTAACTCTACGAAACATCTGCCAAGGTTTCGTCCCAGAACACATTTTACACAGGCAAGCTCTGTTTTTTTATTCTTCTTTGATTCAAAAGTAATAAAGTTTAAAACTTGTGAGCTGGGTTTTTGATAAACTGTGCAGAATGGAGGAGATTGGGTTTGTGTTTCCAACAGATATTCAAAGAGAAGCTCTTCCTACTCTGTTCACTGGCCGTGATTGCATCCTCCATGCCCAAGTCTCTGTTTTGTTCTGTTTTTTCTTTTGTCACTGGCACTCTGTTTTGTTCAATGTTCAATAAATAGTTAGGCGGCTGTTAAGTGCTTTATGCAAGATTATTGATTATGCGGGTATCTAGACTGATTTTTTAAACGCCTGTCTAGAATTATTGTTTTGTTTTAAGTCCAATTTGCCGACTAGGCGGATTTTTAGAACAGTGGTTTTGTTATGGTCAGAACACAGTTAATGTTGGTATGTTTTTTTGGTGATGTAGACAGGTTCAGGCAAGACATTGACTTACCTGTTACTTATACTCTCTCTTATTAATCCTCAACGATCTTCTGTGCAAGCTGTGGTTGTTGTTCCCACTCGGGAGCTCGGTATGCAAGTAAGACTGTATAGGCATTGTTTTTTGTATCTTCTTATGGAGTTTTAGTCTTCTTATATGACATTTTTGTCTCTTTTGGGTTTAGGTTACAAAAGTTGCTCGAATGTTGGCTGCAAAATCAACTGATGTTGAGGTAAAAGGATGTTCAGTTATGGCTCTCTTAGATGGAGGAATGCTAAGACGGCACAAAAGCTGGCTCAAGGTTTGTACTTGGACATACTCAAAAGCTTTCTTGTGAGTTAGCTCAGCAAGTTTTAACTCTATTTTTTAGGCTGAGCCACCAGCAATTGTGGTTGCTACGGTAGCTAGTTTGTGCCACATGCTTGAAAAGCACATACTTAGACTTGACTCGGTGAAAATTCTTGTTGTTGATGAGGTAACAAGACACACATAACTGTTCTGCACATTGAAAACATTCATGCTGAGAATTGTTTCTGTCACTTGGTAGGTTGATTTCTTATTCTACTCATCTAAACAAGTCGGTTCTGTGCGGAAGCTTTTGACGTCATTTTCTTCATGTGATAAACGTCAAACGGTTTTCGCCAGTGCTTCCATTCCCCAGCATAAACATTTTGTTCATGACTGTATACAGCAAAAGTGGACAAAGGTTTGTCTGCTTATCAAACGATTTGAGCTACTGTTAGATGCAACCACCCTCCTGACTCTATTTTTCTTTGCAGAGGGATGTTGTTCATATCCATGTTAGCGCAATCACCCCCATGCCTTTGTGCCTTCTTCACAAATTTGTAGTAAGATACCTAACTAGTTCTTACTTCTTTTGTCTGATTTTAGTTAACATCTGATCTGAATTTTTAATAGGTGTGTGGGAAGGAAAACAAGCATCGGATACTGCTAACTTTGTTAAACTCTGATGCACCTGAATCAGCTATTATTTTCGTCGGCGAGCAGGTTTTTAAAACCTCTTCTGATTTCACCTAATCTAAACCATTTATGTAACACTCTTTTCTGTTTCTTCTTTACAGTCTGAGAAGTCAAAAAAGGCTGGAAATGATCCTTCTACAACTCTACTTATTGAATTCCTTAAAACTTCATATGATGGCTCTCTAGAGATTCTCTTACTAGAGGAAGACATGAATTTCAATTCACGTGCAGCTTCATTAACAGTACGTTGTTCTGTTTTCCTCTGGATGCTTTGCTTACTCTTTGTTTACTAACAATATTTTTTCGAAGGAAATTCGGCAAGGAGGAGGGTTTCTTCTTGTTTCTACTGATATTGCAGCAAGAGGGATTGATCTACCAGAAACAACTCATATCTTCAACTTTGATCTCCCACAGACAGCTACTGATTATCTTCACAGAGCTGGAAGAGCTGGTAGAAAACCTTTTTCGGATAGGAAATGTATTGTTACCAACTTGATCACCTCTGAGGAAAGATTTGTCTTACAAAGATTCGAAAATGAACTAATGTTCACCTGTGAGGAACTGATGTTTTAGGTACAGTATTGAGCTTCCATGTACATAAACTTCACATCTTTTGTCTTTGTTTCCTCCACTTTTTTTTCATATCCACCAATGCATGTGAGTCAAAACATCATCAGCTTTATGCAACTGATTAAAAATGATATTGCTTTACCTACAAGTTACTTGTGTGTGTGTGTGTTCTGTCTTTGATATCCACAGAACAAGACCTTCTTCTTACAACCACCAACAAGTACAGAACATCACTAAACCTAACAACACTAACACCAAACAACAACGCAGATTACTATCTCAGCTTCAGTCCCTGGATCAGAAACTCAGTTCCAAAACTACCCTAACCTCCTCAAAAAATGTCATCTCAACGTAACCGAAGGAGGTTTCACATTCGGCATCAACGGCTTTGTTAATTATTTTCTTATATTGGTTCTTCTCTTTGTTTCTTCATGTTTTGAGTCTGATATTTGGTTTGTTTATCATATGATCTCGTCATCTTTGTTTCTTTATCGTTTTCATTTTACTCAAAATTATCTACTTGTGATCAGCTTAATTACAATGTCAAGTTTCTCATTCTTTGACAGTCTAGAGTGTGCTCATTTGATTTGATTAGATTAAACACTACAAATCAACAGATGATAAGTTTTTGCAAGCAAAAATGATAACTTGGTCCAGGCACATATTAATCTCCCTACTCCAGCCATACAAAAATAAATCACAAGTTTTAAATTGAATTTTATTTTAAAAATCTAAAAAACATTTTCAACTAACACTTGAAGCCAAAACCATATATTATTGCTTTTTATATTACTGTTTATAAATTAAAATTCGGAAACCAAACAAAACACAATTTAGACACCCACTACATGAAGCTTACAAGTTTGAAAATCCAACATGTCTCAGCTGAAGTGGTTATTAAATAGACATTTTGGTACTCTACTTGGTATAGTAGCTTGTGTAATAAATTTTCAAATCAGTTAACAATGTTAGATAATTTTCATTTTTAATTTGAGTGTGCGCGTGAGAGTGCGTGGCAACAAATCAAGTGGACAAGAAGAAACCAAAAAAGAAACAGAACCAACTACTTTGAAGAAGAGTCAAAGCGAAAGGCAAATAATAATACAGAGCAAGAGAGAAGAGAAGAGCCATCGCAAAAAAAGCTAAAGAACCTCCGCAAACATCAATGGCTATATCCAAACTCCACCTACTCTTTCTTATTTCACTACTCAGTCTCTCCCTTTATCGTCCCGTTCTTTCCGACAACAACAACGGTAAGCAACTCTCTCGTCTCCGGAATAATTTTTTTGTATTCTTGAATTTACTTATCTCAACACTGTTGACTTTAGATCTTGTCTGAAAAAAAAAAATCATCAACACTGTTTAATTTGTTCGTACCTTCGCTAGATCTCGATCATGTAACCAAGAAATTTCTCTATATTCAGACATTTAATGTTCTTTTTTTTTATTTGTAACTGGACATTTAATGTTTACTAGTTTAGTTCTGATTCAAGTTCTTGTTTCATATGCAAGAAAATGATTTTTTTTTTTTATGTTCTTTGAAATCAACATAGATGAGGAAGACAATCTTCTTCAAGGCATCAACGACTACAGAACATCCCTAAACCTAACAAAACTTACACATAACAACAACGCAGAATGTCTCGCTGACGAGATCGCAGACCAGTTCAAGAACCAACCATGCACTAACACCAGTGGCCCTGCTTCAGTCCCTGGGTCCCAACCTGGTTTCCCAGGGTTCCTAAATTTCCTCAACAAATGCCGCCTCAACGTAACCGTAACCAGAGACGGTGAGATCATGCAAGCTTGTGTTCCTAACCTTGATGCGAGTCTTGTCTTGTCTAATTTCACAAAGTCACGGTACAACAAGAACCTGAATGACTCTAAGTTTACCGGCATTGGTATTGCTTCTGATGATATTTGGATTGTGGTTATCCTCACTACGAATACATCTGAAGGTGGCTTTAGTCCCGTTACTAACTCAGGAGGTTTCACATTTGGAGTTAACGGTGTCTTTTCTTCGTGTTTGTTGGTTCTTTTCTTATCTTTCTTCATGTTTTGAGTTTCTATTTTTTTTTGAAAAAAATGATCTCAGTTTGGTTGCTTTATGTTTTTTTTTGGTTCTTCTCTTAGAGCGCCTGGTTTCTTGCTTACCAAGCCATCCTATCTTTCTTCATGTTTTGAGTCTCATTCTGAGTTTCTTTCATTGTCTTTGTTATGTAAAAAATATTGTTTTTGGGTGAAAATCTCATTGCATTTGTGTGTTGACTTCTACGGGATATATTGTAGTACTGAACAGCTTATTTACACTTCCTTTGTTACTTCTTGCAACCTTTGTCTCTGGCAAGATTCTAAAACAAACAAGGGCTGGTATTAGCTTGAAAGTTGAAACTAGTGTATGTTCAGGTATAAATTTACATAAACAATCACTTTTGTTAGAATTTTCAAGTGAAGACTAATGTCTGGACTAATATAATGATATGGATAGCTAAGTTTCATCAAGAACCTGTTTAAGCTCATCACTCACCCGAACTGAACAACGTCTAATCCAGAAACACCAAGACCTCGAGAAATCAAGAAAACTATGTCATCTCAACATAACCGCAATGAGAGACAGTGTAATACTGCCAGCTTGTGTTTCTAACCATGATCAAAGCCTTGTATTAACTAATAATATAGCAAAGTCAGACTTCTTGAAAAAACTGAATGATTCCAAGTTTACTGGAATTGGAATTGGTTCTGATGATAATTGGATTGTAGTTGTCCTCACTACAAAGGGACCAAAAGGTAGTTTTTCTCCAGCCGTTATTTACCATTATGCAAGAGGTTTCACATTCGGCATTAATGTCTTTTGTTAACTGTTTTCTTTTGTTTCTTCATGTTTTTAGTCTTATATTTGGTTTGATTGTCATGTATAATGATGTCATCTTTGTTTCTCTATTATTGCATTTACTCAAGATTGTTGGCTTGTGATCAGCTTAACTACAATGTCAAGTTTCTTATTAATTGACGGTCTAGGATATTCTCATCTGACTGGCTTAAAAATGCAGTATTAAACTACGAAATGTAAGACGTCACGAAACGTTTGCTTGTCACTTACATATTAACACATGATAAGTTGAACTAAGAAATGTAAAAGGTCAGGAAACATTGGTTGTCACTTACATATTAACACATGATAAGTTGAACTAGGAAAAGTATAAGGTCGGGAAATATTTGCTTGTCACTTACATATTAACACATGATAAGTTGAACTAGGAAAAGTAAAAGGTCAGGAAACAATTGCTTGTCATTTACATATTAACACATGATAAGTTTTTAACAGCAAAAACAACAACTTAGAGCATGATTAACCCTAAACCCCCTAATTTGGTTCTTAATGACTGTTTTTAGTAATAAATGTAACTGAAGAACTTTTGTTAAGAGACTCCAATTTTGAGTGGTCCAATGAGAATTGTTTAATTAAGGATTCTTAAACAATTATTAAATATTTTTTTAAAGAAAAAATTTATTTATTAAATAAACATATTAAAAGATAACATTTAAAACATAGATTAAAAAATAAAAAAACAAAGATTAGTACAATAATTGGGAATAGTTTGAAAAAAAATATCCGAGCTCAGTAGTTGTCTTTATCACGTCTAAATTTACGCCATATATGGTCAACCAAATCATCTTTCATGTCTCTTGATCCACTCGCTTGATCCATCCATCTTAGCACACAAACACATAAACAAATAAAAAGAATGAAACGATTAATCACTACACAGAATCAAGAGACATAAAATAACACAACAAACTGATCAAAATTGAGAAAACTTGTGACCCGAACAAGAAGGATTCATCACTTCTTAGAGACATAAGCTACACTGAAAATCATTTAGAGACATTACCTATAACATGCAAGATGGTCTTGCAGAGGTCTAGAAAAGGCTTAGTAAGCATCTCGCCTTGTTCAGACTTGACATGCCTAATTCCTTCCAAACACGGCGTAAACACAGTCCCTTCCATTTTCAATTCTTGCCTTAACTGAAAATGAGAACAAAAGAGGAAAAGTCAGTTCTTATTACATTTAGCACAAACATATCCACATGACACAGCAAAGACAGTCACCATCAAACAAAACCCAAAACTCATAAACCAGTGGAGGATCTGAAACTAATGTCAGCAACCACATGAACAACATTGAGAACATACCAATAACTCAAACAAGGATAAAGAGAACGCAACAAAGGTTGAGAAATTTCTTGACCCGAACAAGAAGGATTGATCACTTCTTAGAGACAGAAACCAACACAACATGCAACACAACAAACAATCGAACACATGCATGAATTGAAGGATTCAAACTTAAAGAGGTGGAGTTGGTTAATTGTCGAAGTAGAAAGAGAGAAAGGAGAGACCAAACTTCTTCCTTCGCTTAGTTAAGACCCAACGCTTAAAGTAATTCTTATTTTTTTATTTTTTTTTTAATTACAAATTATGCTAAAAACTCCTCTTAGAACCACCATTAATCATGGTTTTAGTCCCTCCAAAAATCAAAATCTAAAAATCAAAATCAACCGAAATCAAAAATATTAAATGGAAGTTGCTTGTGAAACTAAAGAAATGTTTTCAGTTAACACCTGAAGCCACAACCATTTGGTTTTCTTTTGAATATCACTGTTTATAAATTAAAAATCCCAGAAAATAAGACAAACAAAATTCAAATTAAACTCCCCTAAAACTTTTAGAGCTTCTCCACTGCTGACAAACCCAATCAAATTTCCCAAGAAGGAATTTTTTTTTTTTAATATAAATGAAGTGAAAAAATTTCAAATTTGGAATTCCAACATGCTTCTCAAATTATTAGCCTTTGGCATTTTTAAATTAGTTACATTTTTAAGAGATAACTTCGTTTTTAATTTGTCTGCCTGTGTTAGCACGTGGCATCATTTCGTAGGACAAGAAGAGACCCACAAACATTATAAAACGAACCAACTACTTTCAAGAAGAGGCAAAGCGAAAGGCAAATAATACTGACCAAGAGAGAAGAGCAGCAAAAAGCTAAAGAACCTCCGCAAGCATCAATGGCGATTTCTAAGTTCCACCAACTCTTTCTCCTCTCACTACTCAGTCTCTCCCTTCATCGTCCGGTTCTTTCCAACCGTAAGCAACTCTCTCATTTCCATAAGAATATTCTTCTTGAATTCTTGAATTTAGATACCCTAAAACTGTAGTGCACAAAAAAAGAAAGAAAAAAAAAAAAACCCTAAAACTGTTGATCATGACGTTGACTTTAGATCTTATCCGAAAATAAATCATCAAAACTGTTTAACTTGTTCCTACCCTCGCTAGATCTCGAAAATGTAGCCAATAAAATTTGTCCATAATTTCAGACATTTAATGTGTTATTTGTAATGTTCTTACTTCTGATTCAAGTTATTGTTTTACATGCAAGAAAATGATTTTTTTTTGTGTTCTTTGAAATCAACAGAAGAGGAAGAAAGTCTTCTTCAAGGCATCAACGACTACAGAACATCTCTAAAACTAACAACACTCACAGAAAACGAAAACGCAGCATGTCTCGCTGAAGAAATCGCAGAGCTGATAAAGCACCAACCATGCACTAACACCTCTGGCCCTGCTTCGGTCCCTGGATCCCAAACTGGTTTCCCAGGCTTCCTTGAATTGCTCAACAACTGCGAAATCAGCGTAACGTCAACAAGAGACGGTGAGATCATGCCAGCTTGTGCTCCTGACCTTGATGCGAGTCTTCTCTTGTCTAGTTTCACAAAGACACGGTACAACAAGAACCTGAATGATTCTAAGTTCACTGGCATTGGTGTTGCTTCTGATAATGATTGGATTGTGGTTATCCTCACTACAAGTACACCTGAGGGTGGATATACTCCGGCTCCTGAGGAAGGAGAGGTTCCAGATACTGACTCTGGATTCACATTTGGAGTTAACGGTGTCGTGTCTTCGTGTTTGTTGGTTCTTCTCTTTGCTTTCTTCATGTTTTAAGTTTCTTTTATTGAATAATGATCTCAGTTGGCTTTCTTTCTTTTATTGAATAATGATCTCAGTTGGCTTTCTTTGTGTTTCTTTGTTTTATTGAATAAACCTCATCATTTGTTTCTTTCTTTGTGTTTGTTCTTTAATAATATTGTTTTTGGGTGAAAATCTCATTGCCTTTGTATGTGTTCTATCTATGGGATCTTTGCATTGCCTTTGTTACTTCTTGAAAACAAGGGATAGTCTTATCTTTTTTGACTGAAGAGATAGTCTTATCTTGAGAGAACACATATCTTAAGGTCTATGGCAAGATTCTAAAACAAACAAGGGCTAGTCTTATCTTGAAAGCTGATACCCAAAATTCTAAGGAAAAGCATTTTTGGCGTTTGTACGTACTGAAACTAATCATCAAAACTATTGTATGTTCAGGTATAAGTTTACGTAAACTGCTTCGGACACATCATAAGTATTTTTTGGTTATGAACTACAAAGACTTTGATATACTTGAATTAGCTGGTTGGAATAACTTCTATTCTATCTAAAAACCAATGTTTTTTAAACCGGACCTTAGCTGGATAATTATTTGAGTCATGGTTTAATATGGGTCGATTGGGTCAAACATGGTTTAATATTTATTTAATATGTATATATATTTCAAAGTAATATTATTTATACGTAATTAAAATATTAAATATTGCAATATAAATTATAAGTTTTTTTGTTAAAATGTTAATTTGTAGATTTTTGATAGTTTTAATGGTTTTTATCCAGTTAAACAGTTTTGAGATCCAATCCGACCATTGGAAAAAATAAGTTAAGAGAGAAGTTAGAGAGAGAAAAAATAAGAGACCCACAAACAATATAAAACGAACCAAGAGAGAAGAGCAACCAATCGAAAAAAAAAAAAAAAACAGCAAAAAGCTAAAGAACCTCCGCAAGCATCAATGGCAATTTCTAAGTTCCACCAACTCTTTCTCCTCTCACTACTCAGTCTCTCCCTTCATCGCCCGGTTCTTTCCAACCGTAAGCAACTCTCTCATTTCCACAAGAATATTCTTCTTGAATTCTTGAATTTAGATACCCTAAAACTGTTGATCATGACGTTGACTTTAGATCTTATCCGAAAATAAATCATCAAAACTGTTTAACTTGTTCCTACCTTCGCTAGATCTCGAAAATGTAGCCAATAATTTCTCCATATTTTCAGACATTTAATGTTTCTTTTTTGTAATGTTCTTACTTCTGATTCAAGTTATTGTTTCACATGCAAGAAAATGATATTTTGTGTTCATTGAAATCAACAGATGAGGAAGAAAGTCTTCTTCAAGGCATCAACGACTACAGAAAATCTCTAAAACTAAAAACACTCACAGAAAACGAAAACGCAGGATGTCTCGCTGAAGAAATCGCAGACCAGATAAAACACCAACCATGCACTAACACCTCTGGCCCTGCTTCGGTCCCTGGATCCCAACCTGGTTTCCCAGGCTTCCTTGAATTCCTCACCAACTGCGAAATCAGCGTAACGTCAACAAGAGACGGTGAGATCATGCCAGCTTGTGCTCCTGACCTTGATGCGAATCTTCTCTTGTCTAGTTTCACAAAGTCACGGTACAACAAGAACCTGAATGATTCTAAGTTCACTGGCATTGGTATTGCTTCTGATAATGATTGGATTGTTGTTATCCTATCTACGAATACATCTGAAGGTAGCTTTACTCCCATTACTGAGGAAGGAGAGGTTCCAGAGACTGACTCTGCTTTCACATTTGGAGTTAACAGTGTCGTGTCTTCGTGTTTGTTGGTTCTTCTCTTTTCTTTCTTCATGTTTTGAGCTTCTTTTCTTGAATAATTATCTCAGTTTGGTTTCTTTATGTTATTGTTTTTGGTTCTTCTCTTATCTTTCTTCATGTTTTCAGCCTCATTCTGAGTTTCTTTCATTGTCTTTGTTCTTAAAAATATTGTTTCTGGGTGAAAATGTCATTGCCTTTGTGTGTTCATTCTATGGGATATTATAGTACTGATCAGCTTATTTGTACTGCCTTTGTTACTTCTTGCAACCTTTGTCTATGGAAAGATTCTAAAACAAGTAAGGGCTAGTCTTATCTTGAAAGTTAGAAACTAGTGTATGTTTCAGGTACAAGTTTACATAAACTGCTTAGGGCACATCATAAGTGTTTTTTTTTGGTTATAAACTACAAAGATTTGATATACTTGACTTAGCTAATTGGAAAATTTCTAATCTTATCTAAAAACACTAACTAGACATTGTATACTTCATTTGTTTCACAAAGAGTGTCATTTTGACATTTTTTTTTGTTACACAAATGGTGTTATTTTACGATTTCAGCAATTTATAAATCATTTTTATTAATCTCAAATATTATTGATTAAATATATGTAATTAATAAGAACATAATTACATTTCAATCATTTTCTTAATATGTGTGAAAAGTTTCTATCTTTACGAAATGGATGGAGTATCAAGTTTGATTTCATTTCTATGCCTAGCGGCAGGCTAATAGTAGGGATGCATCCGGCTACAAGTTAGGTTTGGTTGGGATCAATTCGGGTTTTAAGTTTTTTATGGCTAAAGATTTAAGCTCTATACATATATTTATAAACTTTGGTTTGGATTCGGTTCAGATCTTTGTGGGTTCATTTCAAGTTCAAATTTCTATTCAAATTATTAAACAAATTAAAAGATATCAATATACCTTTAAATCCTTAAATTTCAAAAATAAAAGTAATATACAACATATAAATTTGAATAATGTATATTAAGTATCTAAAATTAATCAAGAAAATTGGTACAACCTATATGTATTTGAATTGAAAACCAATAGTTACAGTTATTTCTGGTTTTTGAGTATTTTGAATATTTTCAAATATTTACTTTGAGTTATTTTCAAGCATTTTGGATTATTCCAAATATTTTTAGTATTTTGGATATTATATCTATTAATAATTAATATATTTAAGTATACAATATGTAACTCACAATTTTTTAGGTACCTGAAATATTTTGATTCGGGTTTGGTTTTGCAGATATTAAATTTTTGGATCTATTCGAATATTTTACCAGTTTCGGTCGGTGTTTGGTATAATTTTTTAGATCAGGTTCAATTTAAAGTTTTGAATTTGGATATTTTGCTAGAAAGTAGGCTATGTGAACATAGGGCCATATATACTATGCAAAATGAAGAAGGTGAGTCCATACTAGTTTGGCCCATTAATAAAAAAATGTAACATTAATCCCTGTGTTTCAAAAGAAATTCATTGTTATTCCTAAATTAAATTCATAACATAATTTTCTAGCTTCAGTATGGTTTTAGTGACATAAAAATTTTTGAATTCAGATTTATAATATAAAACTGAAAAAGAGAGAAGAAAAGTTGAAGCATTCTGTGTGCATATATATCATTTATATTTTATAAATTATTTGATTTTTTGACAAAAAACTGACATTGTAAACTGAAAGAGTAATATATAAAATATGATTTATAAACTTCTACGCAATTAATACTATGTTTTTTACTATTACTAGGTGTTTTCAGCACCATGTGCGGAAAAAATAATTTTAAATAGTAGTATTTTATTTTGAAAAATTGTTTACATTGTGAAATTATTTTTTTATATTTTAGTTTTACAGAATTAGTAAAGATAAAATTTTAATTGTTTTTTGTTTGGTTTAATTATTTCAATTTTATTCTATTTAATTTTCAATAGAGTTTAAATTATGTTTTATAAAATATTTGATATTTTATTTAATGGTTTTAAGTATTTCTTTCATCCCCAATTTTAAGTATTTCTATATTTAATATGTAAATTCTAATAAGCTTTAGATTTGTTCTAGTTAAAATACTTTAAAATGGTAAAAATCAAATTTTAATAAACGTAATGATGATATATAATTTATTAGTTATTAATATATTCCAAAACTATTACCAAAATAACTATTTATACATAAAGTTTATATAATCATGATAGGATAAAAATTATTAGTCAACACCATAATTAAAAAGTCTTTCCATAAAATATAAAATTTAATAAGTAATTTTTACATGTTATATAAGTTTGCGGTGTTATATTTTTTTGAAAATCATTGTTTGGTGAATTTGAATGAGATAATGACACATGTTTAAATCAATTGTCAAATAATTCATAAGTGACTGGCGCCCTAGTTCAGTAGAGTCCTCCTGAGTCAATATTTTGATTCATTTCTTGCCAAAAAAAAAAAGAGAGGAAGATAAACATTTTTAAAATAACACAAGAGTAAAAACATTTCACACTTACCATAGTGCATCTTGGTTGGTTGGTAGTTGTGGATGGACGTCAAAGGAAAAAAAAACAGGGCCTGTAAAATAGGAACAAGAATATCTTCTCACTTTTTGAAATGTTGATTTTGTCGAGATTTCTATATCTATCTTTAGATTTTGTGCCTCCTTTTTTTTGTTGGATGTTCTAAGTGCGAGGGAGCGCTTTGATTGAGGGACTTGACTATTTTCAGGGATACACAAAGTTTAAAGAAGAAGACAACTGAAATTTTGCGTTTAGGATACGTCTTTGAAACGTCACTTTCTTTTCACTATCTCTCATGTTATGACTGAAAGATCAAGAGAGGTTGAGAACGAATCGTATCTACTTTTCTTACCCTCACTTTCCTTACTCAATTCCTTTTTGTAATAGTTTACTTTCTTTTACCACTTTAACATATTGGGAAGAAAATTATTATGAAGAAAATAAAAGTACATGATACTTATTTAGTTATTAGCCATAAGAAACTAAAAAACACAATGCCTACTCCTTCCGTCTTGGTATTAAAAAAATTATTATTGAAAATACGTTTAAAGTCTTATTAATTACATCTATTCAACCAATAGAGTTTGAGATAAATAATTTATTTATAAAATCAATACATTTGTCATTAATTTTAAGCTAAAAATGCATTGAAATTCTAAAATGTCACTTTTTGTGTAATAAGAAAAAATATATAAAATGTCACTTATTTAGAAACAAATGAAATATTATATACATCTCTTACAATTTCAGAAGACATATTAATAAATCAGCCTCTCAATAAAATGTTGAATTTTGTGCTCAGAATTATTCACTCCACTGAAAGTTTTGTATACACAGATTAAGAAAACATTTAATTTTCTATATATTCTAAATAAAACATCATTACATATACACTTAACCATATTTTAATCAATGAAAAAATAAACAAGAGAATATTGTTAATCAATTTTGCACTGAAATTATAAAATGATGTTTATTTTGTAACGGAAATTTTATTCTACAAGGACAAGTAAACTAAAACTTTTTATTATGGATAAACAAGGATGCTTTGTTCATATCAAACAAATAATACTCGTATAAATTGATCTAGAATCCAAAATTAATATGAAAAAGAAACTCAATCTTTTAGCTGAATTGGCTCCTACATAAACAGATTGACAGGTGCATTAATCTTAATATATACTAACAAGAAAAGGCTCTGCACTGTGAATGTGATGAATGACTTTCTTTTATATTCCTGACCAAGAATTATAATTTTTTGACCATTTTGGATATCTTCAATTATTTTCTGTTCCTCTCTCTCTTATTACTGGCAAGAAATAATATGTGTCAGTGTGTATCCAAACGAAGTTGATCGTCACAGATGCACGCATTTAACTAGGCAAGTATAGTATCTGTGTACTAGGGTTTGATCGTGTCACAAAGAAAACAACAAGAAAAAAATAATACTAAGTTGTTAAAAAATAGAAGGTAACAAACATACCCGTAGGGTTACTAAAAATTGGTTATAAGAGAATTAAAACGTGTTAAAGACTTCACATTCTATTTTCGTTCTGTTCATTTTTCTTTATGTTAGTATTAGTTATTTCAGAAATTTAGTTTGTTTCCCACAAAAATTAGAAACTTGCATGCTTATAGTCTTGTATCCTTGTCTGGCCGATAATTTCGAAGCATGCCCTCGATATTTTTCTCCTTTCCTAAAATATTTTCAATATCAAAACCTTTTCACAAATAGATGCATAAACGCCATTAATCACGTTGAAAAAACATTATATAAAGATTCTAGGGCAGGAGCAAATCCACTAATAGAGTACCGGCAAGGATTTGGTTTTGTCGCCATCTTGCCACTACTCACGATTCACGGATCCATCCGGTACACCCGCCAAATGAATATATACATTTTGCAAATTTTATGTTTATCATTAGGATTTGAACGTCAAATGAACATAAAATGAATTAACATATCAAATCAAATTAGTAAGTCGACTTAATAATCATTAATATAATTTATATATACTGCGATATAAACGTCAAATGAAGGTTAATTACAAACTTTTGCAAATTTTATGTTTCTCAGTCAAAAATTTGTAATTAACCTTCATTTGACGTTCAAATCGGAGTATATATAAATTATATTAATGATTATTAAGTCGACCTACCAATTTGACTTGATATATTTTAAAAAAAAAATTAAGGAAGCTTCCGGGTACAATGGTCCCAACGAAGTGAGGGTGTGCATGCCACTAATTTCGGACCACTAAGTGGAATCTTTCTTACCAAACTAGATTAACTACCGACCGGACCACGAGCATATTCCCTTTTCCCATTTCTTCCTGTTATATATTATAAATCCTTTTTTATTCAATTTTATAATCTACTTTAGGAAACGGTGATATTTCTATTGAAAAAAAGATTACAATAAAAAAATTGTGAAAGTGAAACTGTAAAAACAGAGCCAAATTAAGAAGTATCTTATTTTTAGGAAGTAGCAACTCCGAAGGATTCCCAATTTAGCAATCTCATGTTTTCCCTATTACCTTCAATACATCTTCTTGATATTTGAACATTCTCCATGTCCATCACTTCACCGTCTTCATGGTCTTCTTCCTCCTTGGATTCTTCGGTTTCTTCCGGCTCAGACTTCTCTTCTTCGTTTTCTACATTCTCATATGTATCTTTCAAGATAGAGAGTCGGAGACGACCGTTGCTTCGGTCAGCTTGGAAGCACATGTTAAGAGGCGGTGCTTTTGTGGCAGTCATGACCAGTCTTCCATCTTCACGGTGTGGTCTCATGTGAATGCATTGAGACCCTCTCATACTGGTCAAAGGAGGTGGGAGATCTCTAGGGCACCCTTTCCTATTTTTTAACGTTCTTGTCTCCCTTGCTGTTCCCTCAAATTTCTTGGTCTGCACGTCAGATGAAGAGAGCGAGAACAGATCTTCTACGTCAGTAACATCAGAGCCAGTTTCGCTTCCTAGGTTTTCAGTGCACAATGCTAAGCTCTCATCACTTAGGGTTCTAGAAGAAGACGGACGATGAACATAAGTCTTCTCTTTCTCAGTGCTTTTTGAAAGAGAGGAGGAGGAGCCAGAGGATAGGGACTGAAGAAAGCTCCAGCCACTCGAGTCAGGAGCCAAGGAAGCAGCTGGTTTGCCATCGTTGCGGTTTTGGGTGTCTTTTGCATTAGCGGAGTCAAGCAAATGAGACTTGAGGGCTAAACCAAAGGGTTGAGAGAAGTGAGGAGTTGGTGAAGATAGCCTAAGCCTTAAAGCCCAAGGTTCATTAAGCTGAGATGACTGAAACCCTTGTTGATACACAACAGTTCCCATTTTCTTAGATAGGATTGGATTAAATCTGTTGAGAGAGAGAGATAGGTGGCAAAGAGTTAAGAGGTTATTTGTGAGATGTGAAACAAAGTAGAGAGGTATTTGGAAATGAGAATGAAGGATAATGAGAGGGAGAGGATGCCAATTTGTAGTGTCCTAAAAGTGAATAAATAAAGAAAAGAAAGAGTGACTATGCAATGTGCAGAGACTAAGGTGGGTAAAGAACTTTCCCAAACCACCACTTGTATTTTAAAAAATGAAAATTATGCCACACAATGCAGATAAGAATATTGTGTGTGTGTGTGTGTGTGTTAAAAGGAGAAGGATAAAAGAAGTCATTGTATAGTGCACATGGTTAAATTTGAAAAACCCTGTATGTTATCTTTCTTTGTACTGTTATGAAGGAGACTTTAATTGATAGCAAAAGGAGCAATTTGGAAAAGAACAGTCCGAGGGAAACTTATTTAATCATCGTTTTGACTAATTCAGGCAAAGAAAAACTGAATTATTCAGCAGCCAAGGAAGTTCTGATTACCCTCATGTGATATGTTCAGAAAGAGACTACTAATCAGAAAAAAAAAATAGTGAGAATAAGGAAAGTTCCAAGTGAAAAATAAAAAAAAATATTTGCGTTAGCATTTGTGTTTCATATTCTTTACTTTTTAAGACTTCAAATGATTTTTTTTTATCAAACATCTTATTATTACTGATAGTCTCTTCTTCTGTTACGTTTGAGATTTTGTATTACAAATAGAAATATAGAAGGAAACAACCATTTAAACCCTTTCTCGTAAGAAAAACATTTAAAGAGACACGTAATGGGAGTACCATATGTCAAAAAGTTACCGACAGTTTGCTCTATCTTTATACTCAAATATATTTACTTTCCAAAAAATAAAACAATCCAACAAAAGCTATGAAAGTTCCAAAATTTGGTTTCCCCAATAGGGCTATAAATTATATATGAAAATGGTTGTTTGTTTGTTATCTCTAATAGTCCCCTTTCATATGTTTAAAGCAAAGAGTCGTGTGGCACAGAGAGAGAGGCGGAGTCAAAAACCTATGTCGGGTAACTCTTACACCAGTTTCAACAACATGATAACAACAGCCCACTAAATTTGAAATCTAAATCCCATTTACCCAAAAAATGATTATTGGCACTAATCAAGGAATAAACATGATGTGTCTCCATATAAAGTTTTAGAAAGAAATGGTCATTGTAAATCAAGAAAAACGAAATAAAACAGAATACAGAAAGAAAAAAATAGAGTGTGCCAAAAATACAATCACATCGATTGCACTGTATTGAATGCAAGGAATATAAACTAACTTTCCGCCCACTTATTATGACCAAAACATGGAACCCTAAAACAGCTCTTAATTAGGATGTTATTATGATAACAGAAATAATGAAGTAAACATATCAAGTGTAAAACGACCAAGGTTTAATTCAGTTAAACGAAATTATAATAAGGTTAAAAGACAAATAAAAAGAAGGAAGAGAGATTTAAGTTAGCTTTTCCTCTCTCTAATTCCAAGTGATCAATGTTAACATCAAACGTTACCCTTTGAATCTTTGGCTAGCCAACAGTAAACCATGTTACCTTGTACGGAACAGCTTATGAAGACAGGTTTAAGATTCATTTTAAGTCGTCAGCAACAACAAGTGATTCCCCACTAAACACTTTTCTTTGCTTACGTAGTTAACCCCATTTCTAAACAACAAAAGACACTTTCTCATAGTAAACAAATGCCCTAGGGTCAGTGACTCTTCTGTAACTCCAAGGCATGTGGGTTTATTATTATATAAACAAATGTAACCTAGTCCTCTCTAACTTTACCACATAGCTTACACAATAAAGCTAGAATGCATGAGCTGTTCCTATTCCGGAGAGGGTGGGGGAGAGATTTTGTGAGATTTTCCTGGGCTTCCAGTAATAAGAAAAGGCATCTCATTTTGTACTTGTGCTATAATAAAGAATGTGTAGCTACTACCATTGATGAACTGTGAGCATAATGCTAGCTTGTGTGTTGTTCAGTAGTACTATCATCAACTTTAATCACACATTAGTCTTTTCAAAGTTTATTACAGGCATGAACAGCACAAGTGGATCTTAGTTTATGTTTTCAAGAGATTCTATGATCACTAAAAAGATTTAGTACGAAGATACCTTCGATTATATGATATACAACGAAACAAAAAAACATGTATTCTCTTGTACTAATGCTTCTATATCAGTACTCAGCTTCAATAACAAAGAACATCTTGCTAAATATTCTCAGTGGTTGGTCATGTATTAGTCCTCTAAAAGATGCAAATCAATATTTTTTTTTTTCATTTGCATTGCCAAGAAAATGTCAAATGCAATCTAGAACATGTTTGTAAACATATAAGTCTAATATATATATAGAAAATGTGTATCAAGAACATGTTTTTTTTTGGCAATAGATCTAGCCAAGAAAGCTTTTAGTATTTAACAATATAACTCAGAAAACCGTAATTTTCAGAACCAATGTTTTGCTATTAGTTAGTGTTATCCATACGTTATGTCATTTTTCTAGGGCCTCTCCCTCTGCCGAAGGAATCAAAAATGATATAATTAAGCAACTAGTTTGACATGCTTGGAATGTATAAATAATGAAACAATAATTAGGATTCTCTAACGTAAGCAAGAGTAAGAAAGTTATGACATATAGTTTAATAATAAAATTGGAAAAAGGAGCTGACCTGCAGACGTAATCTCCAGACAAATATCCACAAATTGAATCTTGAACAGCATAGGTGGTCCTAAAATACGAACTGGCCTCATATAAGAAAAAAAAAAGTGATACAGCAACCTTTGGCCTCTCGAAGAGAAAATGCTTTTGAGAGTGTCCTTATACAAAAGCAGCTTTACTATATGTAATTAAGATTACAATAATTAAGTGACTAATGACACAAGCAAAAGCATCAAATTTAAATCAGAATATATTTTGACTTCGTATCACTCACTTTGTACGCAAGAAAGCTAAAAGAAAGGAAAAAACGAGTGAAACTTCGAATCATAATACTTTAGTGTTTGCTATTGGTTTCAAGTTTTCGGCGACTGGTAGATCTAAAAGCATAGAGATACGTCATACCACTTAAACTCAAGTGGAGACATAAACTTAAGCCTCACGTTTCCATTTATGTTATATGATTACCGAGTAAAACAAGAGGATTGCATCTCGTGGCTTAATAGAAATGGCATAACAAAGAAAAGCCATTCATCCACCAATATCTTTTGACCATATTAGTGGAACCTTTATGTGCCAATACTCTAACTTTTGAATTATTATTAAAATGAGATGGGGAGATTATCTAAGTCATGCATACACATATTATATAGCTCACAACTTTAGCTAGGGAAAGAATATAAAAGCTTATATGTATTAGAACTTTCTCCTTTGCTTTTACGGAAGCATGAGATCCACACGAAAATATCAATATCATCCATATAAAAAATGTCTTACTCACATATCATCTAAACAAGCTGAAATTTCTACAGCTTAGATGTCAACATTGTAATAGACAAAAAAATGTCAAACATTGTAAAAAAGCTTTCGCACGGTCTAGTTATAATACGAACAAAATTACACTTAGGTAAACTTACATTTAGCTGATGCACTTGGTCTTTATTCAATTAAAAAGGCATGCATGTGGTTGATTCATCTTTGATGTCTCACAAGAGAAATGTGATATCCCAATTTGTGGTATATGTTGAAAGGATTAAGATATTAATTCGGTTACGTATGTTATCAAAGTACATTTATTGTTTTGGTCATTTTTCCAAAGAGAACTTTAGAATTAAGCCGACACCAGCATGGTCGAGTCCTTGGTGTTGGACCAGCCTCATGTACGGAAACATGAATATTCACAAGGTTCTTCTGGCCCTGGAATTATTCGGATCTCTTGGCCAGTTGACCAGGTGACCCGATGATAGTATAGCTCAGACATGGTTAAGAGGTGTTTGAAATAGGATTACTCGATTTATATGAAAAAGAGTTAAACATGTTTGAGTTAAATTAGTCAAAAGATGGAAGACTATCGATCGGAAAGTGATTTATGATATCGTGTGAGTAACGTTAAATTACATAAAATATATCATGTGATATTGTACAATCATAAAGCAAGTCTTTCGAGACTTAAAAAAATAACGCTCCCGACTATCATATATGATGGACTCACGAATCTAGAGAAAGCGCCGTGAGCACATTGAAAGGACAGACATGAGCATTACAAGAAAGGGTGTGCTGGTTAAACCGTACCTGGAGCATCTTGAACCTGAACTAGCGAAGAGATTCAATAATGTAGAAAGTGAGGAATATATGCAGGCAAGCCCGACTTATAATATATTTGTGCCTAGTGCTAGGTAAATTTGTTTTTTTTTACAATTTTAGCATACTATTATTATAAATTTTGATAAACAAGACTCTAAACTGAAAAAAACAAAAAGAGACCATGTGCAAATGCACGGCTCTGAGCATAGCCGGTATGTACGTTAGGTAAGAATCAAGAGTAAATCATAATGGTCTCAAGAATAAGAAAGACAAATGTCTAACAATTCTAAGTATTGGGACCTTGAAATGATTTGGCTTGGACAAATCATCTAATATCCTCAAACATGTATCCTAGGAATCTATTTACTACTAGTGAGAGCAAACACAATATCCGTTCATGATTTCTTCACGTTCAATCGAACATAAGCAGGAAAGTTCCATACCAGAGGCACACAATTAATAATCAACCGTACAAAGAAGAAAGATGCAACTTCATGAAAACAAACATAAACCAATGTATAAAGATGCAACAGCAACATCATGCATTCTCTTCTGGGAATCGCCCTGTGTGACTGTGACGTGACCTTCTTTTCCTTGAAACACCATGGAAACAAAGCCTTTTTCAAAAACAAAAAAACACCATGGAAACAAACATAAAACGCCAAAGGAGCTTTCTTGTGGCGAACGTGCACGTGTCACAATCGGCTCCTTTGAATATATATCTACCTTTCAGTAAAAAGATTACGATAGCTAAAATATCTAATTAGTCAATTAATAATTAACGTTGAAATGTGAATGAAGAAAGCTTTCTTGTGACGAACTTGCACGTGTCACAATTGGCTCCGTTGAAAATACATTGAAAGAAGAAAATTTGATTAAAATGGAATCATTCATAGTCAAAGCCACATAAAATGTTACCAAATCTATAATATATTGAAAGTAAAAATATTAACTATGTTGAATTTTTGTGTATTCATGTGTAGTATAAATTGATACGGGCCTTTTAAACATGTGATAGTTAATTAGACTTGTTGATCAAACAAAAAGCTATGGAAGATCTCTCTGATTTAAGAATAAAGGTATGATCTGAATAACATTTTTACTTACATACACAAACATGATCGGTTCTATATGTTATACAAAATTGTTGGAAGATGAATTGTTATTGTTGCATAAAAGAACTGATGAATTACATGACAAAGATCTACGATCGCTGTCTATTACAATCTATTATTCACTGTTGTTTGAATTCTATTGTTTTAGTCTTAAGCCAACAACTTTTTTTTCTTTTTTTTGTTATCAAGCCAACAACTTTTGTTATGCGAATCATTACTTACCACCATTAAGAAAATTGAACATCTATAGTGATTGGGGATGTCATAAATTATTTCTAGCTCTGTTCAAAAAAATATATTTATGGCATATCTAACTATTTAATGATTTTTTTAAAAGTTAATAATTAACTATGTTTTGATGTTTCTTTTAAAATTATAAACTATAATCTAACAATATATCTAAAATTTTAAAATTTTTATTATAATTTATCAATATTTTTTAAAAAAACTTTAATTTTTTCTTATTTTTATATTTTTATATTTTGGACTATGTTCAATTGTTTCAATAGATTGATGATTGATTGAATATATTAAATAAATCAATTTGAAGTTTTGGGGATGATTGATTGGTGCTGTGAATGCTTTGTACATCTTTTAATTTTTTTTTTCACGACCAATTTATCACAAATCATGATCTAGTTAGAAAAATCTAAAACTATATCCCAATTTTTAAAAATAAATAAATTGAAGTGTAGATATAATTTTTTTACAGCTTTTATTAAGTATTTTATTTAAAAAAATAAACTTACATTAATAAAATCTACAGCTATAGTCACAAAATCTACCATTTAATTTATAAAGATAAAAATCTAAAATTAGAGCCTCTACCAATCAAACCCTTGATTGGTTAATCCAAATGGTGAAGAGTATGTTACCACCATTTATCTTAACCCTTAAAAGGCAGGCAATCTTCTTAAGACTTAAGATAAATCAGAATAAATACTTTTTTTCAACAAAATTAAATATAATCATTTAACAAGATAAAACCAAAATACCGGTCATTAAAAAATAATGACTCTCCATAACTATAACCATATATTAAAATAAAAAAATAATAACAATGGACTCTCTACACTATCAGTGTATTAAAAAAAATCAAAAAGGAAGGTTTGAAAAATAAAAATGAAAGCGAGGTTATCGGGAAGGGGAGAGAGAGAAGGAAGCGAAGAAGATGGAGATGTTAGGGATGAACATGATTGAGATACTATTCATGGTGCTTATGTTGTTTCTCTTCTCCCTCGTCATCCTCTTCGCCTGCAAGCCATGGCGCTACCTTCCCCTTTTCCGTTCCTCTTCCTCCTTCAAGGTAAAAGGTCGTCCTAAACCTAACCTTCCGATTCGCTTTCGCGAAAAAATCGATCAAATCGTCTGTTTCGGTTACGCCTTAATCACCAATGGATCAAGCGTTGATTGTGTTTGTTATGATTATGATTATCTGATTGGGAATGAGAATGTGTTATTGATTGGATTGTTTGATAGATTAAGTGTATTATGGATTTTGAGGTTTAAAAGGTAACCCTAGGAGTTGATTAATGTCTTTGCAGTTAGGGGATTTGCAGAGACCTCTTGTATCTGATTCTGATCATGATGAGCGTTTGAACCAAGGCCAAACCAGTGAGGAGGGGTCAAGGGAATATGATTTAGAGGGAGCTTGTTACAAGAACGAAGAGCTTTTACGTTCTTCTTCTTCTCTCAGTGAAGGACGGGTTAACAAACAAAGGCTTCCTTCTTCTTCTCCTAATCTCAACCAAGGTAAACACTCTTTGCATTCCCCCTTGTGTTCAGCTTTGGTGTAGATCAATTTAGTTTGTGTGTTGTTGACTGTACGTACCAATTGGTTTTATGTAGGTGAAAGCGTTGTTTTGAAAATAATTTCTGAAACTTCTGACAATGCTTTGGTGGGTCGAACTCTTAAACATCCATCTGACAAAGTTAGCTTGGAAGAAGTTGAAACTTATGACTTGTTGGATAACACAAGTCAGAACCTACAACATGATCAAAGTAAATTTATTTTTTCTTTTTTCTTCTTTTCAATTTAGTTGTGCAAGACATGTATATCATAGTTTGTGTTATAAGTGCAGGAAGTTGGCTGTGCCTGGAGGTCATTTCGGGTCCTTCCACTGGGCTTCAACTTGCTGTTCACTCCATAAGTACTTCCAAGTTGCCATTGAACCTTGGAAGGGTTTCTCCGTCTGGTATGATATTGAAGGACCCCGAGGTTTCGGGGAAGCATGCACAAATTACATGGAATTCTAATGTGAGGAGCTACTTAGTTTTATTTATCCAACTTTCTGCATGTCTCGTCTTATTAAACTGTGTGTTATGCCTGTCTGGTTTTGATTTTAGAAATTTAAATGGGAGCTGGTGGACATAGGTAGTTTAAATGGAACACTCTTGAACTCTCGGTCAGTAAGTCATCCTGATATAGGCAGCCGAAAGTGGGGTCAACCTGTGGGGCTTGCAAGTGAAGATATAATAACTTTGGGAACAACGACAAAGGTCTATGTAAGTCGATCTGAGCGGTTGAAGGTGTTGCTGAATAATTTTTTTTTTGCTTTTCTTAATTGATTTTTCATGCAATTTCTTTTCATTTTTGGAAGGTCCTTATCTCATCTCAGAATGAGTTTAAGACACCGGTCAGAATTGGTGTGGCCTCAGATCCCATGGCTCAACGTCTAGGAGGCAGGAAATTGTCAATGGAAGATTTTTGTTATTACAAGTGGCCGCTTCCTGGGGCTAATAAGGTTACCTTATTTTGGGATCTTCAGTTGTTTATGTGATAATAAACTTCATTGCTTCTGCTAACGTAAGTCTAAATGCATAATATGGTTTCAGTTTGGGCTGTTTTGTGTTTGTGATGGACATATGGGAGCTGGGGCTGCTCAATCTGCAGTAAAGTGAGTCATTGTTTATAGTCTACACCACCTCTATTCACATTTTCTTTTATAGAGTCCTCCTTTATGTTTCTTATTATGAACTTTCTTTTTATGCTTAACATACCAAAGACTCCAGTTACTTACAAGTTACAACTGGTAACGTGAAAAAGGCTGCGGTTGGTTGTGTTTAAACTTCCAACAGCACCTGCCTTTCTGACACTTGTCCTGTTCATTTTTGTGAATGGCCTAGTCACGATATGTTAGGAGGCTTCACTGACTAACCACTGTAGCATCTTTCGTTTGAAGTTTTGTCTGAAACAACGATAATCATATACTGAATTGAATATAACCCATTGTACTTATTCTCCAGAATTATTCCTGAGGTTCTGGCGAATCTTTTATCAGACTCTGTGAAGAAGGAGAAAGTGTTATCACAGCGAGATGCTTCGGATATCCTGAGGGACGTGCTTGCGCAAACAGAAGCTCGCTTGGATGATCACCTATATGAGGTTCTGAAGCTTGTTCTTTCCTTTTCATTTGATTGCATATTTTCTTCTTCACGAAGTTTTTTCATTGGTTCGTCCTTGATGAAACTAGTCGGTCCATGCAGGGTTGTACAGCGACTGTTCTCTTGGTCTGGAAAGACAGTGAGGAAAATTTATTCGCACAGTGTGCCAATCTTGGTGATTCAGCATGTGTAATCAAGTACGTTAAACATATTAATATTACTATCTTAAGCTTCTTAGTTACTGAGCTTGCATTAATCGGTGCATAAACGTCTTAACCGTGAGTGAGTATGGTCTTGTTAATGAAAGCCTCTTGTTCTGGAAACAGTAGATTATTATTACTCTAGGGTTTGTGGGAGAGCGTAGACATCAATGAGAGATCTATGCATCGTAGTAAAATTGTTGTTTTGCAGAAACGGAAAGAGAGTTTATCCCTAATTAATTGGATACCGATCTTAATTAAAAACCACAACCCTATCAGATTGTTGTTTTGCTCTCAGGAAATAATGGTGTCGGCTTGATATGTTAGTAGCTTCTCGTTATTTTTATGTGATTACGATTTACTTTCCATTTGGCAGCCTTGATGGGAGCTATATACAAATGACTGAAGATCATAGAGTGAGTAGCTTGACCGAGAGAAGACGAATTCTAGAAGCAGGACTATTTTTGAAAGAGGGAGTTACTAGGATCCATGGTATTAGCTCAATGAATTAAACACACTCCTGATTCTGACTCCATTGTAAAGATTTGATAATCTTCTAATACTTCTTCAGGTATAAACCTTGCGAGAATGCTTGGAGACAAATTTTTGAAAGAGCAAGACGGACGTTTCAGCGCAGAGCCATATATAAGTGAGCCTCTGCGTATCGATCAATCTAGTAAAGACGTGTTTGCTGTATTGGCTAGGTAAAAAACACTTAACATAATAAGCTAATCTCCATCTTCTCATTCACTTTTAGTAAATCCTGAAAAAAAGAATAAAAAAATAATGATGCAGTGATGGACTATGGGATGTGGTGAGTCCAAGGAGAGCTGTGCAGCTGGTGCTTCAGGTTAAACATTTATTTTGCTATTTCAAAAATGAAGCTTCATGGTATTGCTCTGTCTGAAAATATCATACTGATGTTTATGTTTTAACCTGAATGTGTCAGATGCGAGAGAAAGAGGGATGGACAGAAGATAGTGCAGAGAAAATAGCAAAGGGTTTACTTGATGAAGCTAGTAAGAAGCGTACAAAGGATAACACCTCCATTATTTACTTAGATTTTGATCCTTCTTTGTAATATATTTGGGAAGTGTATGTGTACAATCTTTATGTGTAGGGTATATGCAAAAAAAAACCTCAGATGCAGAACTTATTTTAATAGTGATAATATTAAATTGAAGGTTCTTTTTTTGACTATAACGTATACTATTGTTGGCTGATGTAGAGGGGATGCAACAAATACTAGTCGATACAGCAAATTCAGATGTTTTTGATCTCCTTCCTAAATTTGAGCCAATAACATTTGGTTTAACCATCTGATATAACATGTTGGATCCGTCACGCAATGGTTAAATCATAAACGTGTACCGTTAAAATGGTTAAATAAGCTCGTAACTCGAAAGGAATGGTTGACGTAAAGAAAAACCACATTAATAATTAAAAGGCCGTAAATGGGCCCAAATAATTAAGTTGATTGAGGCCCGAGTAAAGAGCCCAAAAGGAAAAAGCACACACAAGCCCTAAGAAAGAGTGGAAGAGAATGGGAAAGAGGGAGAGACGAGAAGAAGCCAATAATCAGTTAGAATACTCATCAGTCATCATAGGAAGAAAAGGTCAAGATATTCATTGGTGAATAATCCCAATAAAATTTCCTTATTTTAGAAAAAAAATATTTGACAATCTGGCCTTTATAAAATCTTAAATTATTAAAACGGTTTCTTTTCCAAAAACTAAAACAAATTAACAGTCTAGGATCTATACAAACTGGGAAATTTGATCCATTTAAGGAAATAGAGCATTAGCTATTCTTTAACTAAATTTATAACATTTTTTCAATATAATTAGACTGATCACAGAAATACACATTTGGAGGAAAGAAGTTCAATTGAATATCTGATAATATCTCAAAGGAAATACTACTTTTATTGTCTTTCCTCTTTTTATATTTTTTATATCTTTTTAAGAGATGACAGATACTCTTACTGATCTCATCATTGTGAGTGTTGTAAGCTTGTAGGGAGGAGAAGATCACCGATGAGCACCACCATGAAAATCATGTTTTTTGCGTTACTTATCCTTCTGGTTTCTATTGGTTAGTGTCTCTCTCTCTCTCGCCATTAAATTAAAGACCTGCGTTCTGCTTTGCTTAACACTCAAGTTTTAGATTCAAATAAAAAATGTATAGGCAACAACTGCTTACTTTTGTTGGATTTCTATGTGCATGTGGTTCTTAAAGGTGGAAATGATTTTGTTTGCATGTTATAGATGTTGAAGGATCTGACAATTCGTTGTGCTGTAACACACATCCGAAATTTGGAGCGTGTAAAACACATCAAGATCAAACGAGATGCAACACTTGGTGTCTCAAAGGATGTAGTAATAAGAAAGGAGGGTTTTGCAAACGTCTTCCTCATGGAGCAAAATGCCACTGTTACTGTTAAAATTAAACATATGTTTATGCTTTGCGTTTGCATCGATTGCAATACATATTAATTAATTTTAAATGCTAAACTGAATATTATATGATGTACGCGCCTTTTCTTTTACTTCTTTTTCATGGTTAAAGTTTTACAATAACTTATCTAACGTAAGCCCATGCATGTATATATTATAGAGATATATCATATTATTTGGAATTGATATAATATGATTACAAAAATTGAAGCTATTAATTCGTATTTTGTAAATGGATGTGCTATATAATGTATGTTCTATAATATTAAACTCTTGAAGTTTAATGTTTCACTTACCAATGTCAAAAGACCTGTTCAGGCTGTGGAAGAAGTAAGCCTTAGACTTTATGGATTACACGACGTGATCAATATAACTTTCAAAAACATTATAAATGAAGAATATACTTTTATACTTGTCAACTCATTCTTCATCTAAATACCACCGATGAACCTCTCTTTCTCCCCCTCTCGGTTTCACGATAGCAAAGATGGCAGAGAAAGTATTTTCCGAAGAAGCAGATGTGAAGATCAGAGCTGCTGCGGCGGCGGCTTCGGATCTTGAACATATGGCTGCAGAGTCATCCGTGGTTCCTGATTTCGAGAGAGGGAGGTTCTACGACGTGTACTCAGCCAGGAGGAACGAGCGGTTGAAGAGGAAGAAAGGAGGAGGAGAAGAAGATGCCGTAGCCAAAGGAACTCTGTACAATCTTGGAGTGGAGCCCACCATAACCACCAAGAGAAGAGGAACCTTTAAGAAGAAGAAGGTCTCCATGGATGATACAACAACAACACCGAGGTATTCTCTGAGGAGCACAGTGACCAAAGATAGCAAGAAGCCTCTGAGTGTCGCTGTAAGTACTATGAAAACTGTCAAGAGCACCAGGAGGATTATGAGTATCTGATGCTAATCTCCTTCTTGATCAACTCTTTGCTTTTGCTTTTGCCTTTGCTTGTGTGATTCTGTTAGGAAATCGAAGTTTGGGGGTTTTGATTTTCCTTTCTATCTACTATTTGCAGTATTGTTCTGCTGTCGGGATGTCGACATAAATAAATCCATGAAACTTTGATTGGTTTTGTTTTGTTTTGTTTCCTCAATTATCCATACATTCTGATACGCTTTATCTATATGAACTGCGTATCTTCTTTGCTTCAGTAAAAATTATAACAATGTTGTTGTGTGTTTCATAATCCTCTAGACAGTGTCTATTTTGAATCTCATGGTACTGTCTCAATTTTAATGTCTAACCTTAATTTTAGTATTGTGACATGAAAATGATGGATACGAAATATTGTACAGAGAATGAATGAACATGGTTGTTACAGGTTTGGGCATAAGTATGCCCATTCAGTGAAGTGTTTGCACACAACAAATGAAAGTAACACGTTCCAACAAGCCTTTCTATAAGCATGACTCGAAGTTTTTAGTGATCTTGTACTGGAGAACATATCAATCTTCAACGCTGAAAAGTTTAGACTCGTTATGAGTGGGATGCCTATCATTAATGGTAAATTTATACTCTCCTATTCAAGAATGATGTGTTCCGTTTACTAGTCTTCTTTGTTTTTTTTTACCAAGTTTCAATTATAAAAAGGTAAAAAACTAGACTCGAACCAAACTAGATCTGAACTGACAAATTCTACTTACCATATTGGGTCTAAATGTTGGATTAAGCTCAAAGTTAGCTTGAAGGTCAAGCTATCTAATTCTATAGAGTTATAGATTAGGAAATATGCTATTATGTTAAACCTAATGAGTTTAGGAAAGTTTGAGTTATATATAAGGAGATGCAAAGTATGTTGCATAACTTAAGAGAGTTTTAGGAGTTTGTGAGTTTGAGGTTTTGAGTAAGTTTCCTCNTAAACCTAATGAGTTTAGGAAAGTTTGAGTTATATATAAGGAGATGCAAAGTATGTTGCATAACTTAAGAGAGTTTTAGGAGTTTGTGAGTTTGAGGTTTTGAGTAAGTTTCCTCAAGAGATTAATAAGAAGAGTTTCTTATTTGTGTTCTTGATCTTGTGTTTGAGATTCTCGGTATCAAGTAAACTTCAAAACTATATTTGGTATCAGAGCGTGAAATCGAGATCATGAGTGATATTGTTCCTGCGACCGGAGAAGCAAAAGAAGGAGGAGGGCACTCATCGATCAAGTGTCCCATGCTTACCTCAACCAACTATACAGTCTGGGCCATAAAGATGAAGATCACCCTTAAAGTACATGAAGCTTGGGAAGCTGTTGAAACAGAAACAACAAACATAAAGAAGAACAACTTGGCGTTAGCTTTACTGATACAATCAATACCCGAGAGCCTCGTACTACAGGTTGGAGAGTTAAACAACGCAAAGTTGGTATGGGAAGCCATAAAAACAAGACATGTAGGAGCTGATCGTGTGAAAGAAGCCAGACTTCAAACCTTGATGGCTGAATTTGATCGCCTTAAGATGAAAGAGACCGAGAGTATCGACGATTTTGGAGGAAAATTGTCCGAACTAGCTTCGAAGTCAGCCGCTCTGGGAGTCATTATTGAAGAGCCAAAGATTGTTAAGAAGTTTCTCAAGAGCTTACCAAAAAGGAAATACATACATATCGTTGCAACCCTCGAGCAAGTGCTTGATCTTAATGATACTAGTTTTGAGGATATTTTGGGACGACTAAAAGCTTATGAAGACAGGGTTTGTGAGGATGATGAAACTGATGAGGATCAAGGAAAGCTGATGTACACAGAGGGAAAAGCGAGTTAACCAACACGAGATCAAGGAACTCGTTTTCCGTCTGAACAAAACAATCAAGGTTACAACCGAGGGAACAATAGAGACTTCAACTACGACTCATACAGAGGAAGAGGTCGTGGTGGGCGATCATATTACAGAGGAAGAGGCCGTGGACGCTTTAGTGAGAGAGACGCATCACGGATTATATGTTTTCGGTGCGACAAAGTAGGCCACTTTGCAGCGACTTGTCCAGACAGACTATTGAAACTGCAAGAGACTCAAGAAGGAGACAACTCTGAGACACAGGAGGCAGAAGATCTTATGATGCATGAAGTGGTTTACTTGAATGAGAAGAATGTCATGCCTGAGAAATACGAAACCAATAGTGAAGGAGACGATATGTGGTACCTTGATAATGGTGCCAGCAACCACATGACAGGAGATGGAAGATATTTCTCACAGCTAGACAATACAATCACAGGAAAAGTACGCTTTGGTGATGATTCTCGTATAGACATCAAAGGCAAAGGAACAATCTCCTTTACAGACATGAATGGTGATTCACGAAGAATGACGGATGTCTATTTTATACCAGGACTTAAGAGCAATATTATTAGCTTGGGACAAGCTACAGAAGCCGGCTGTGACATAAGACTAAGAGGAGAACAACTTACAATGCATGATCAACACGGGAAACTACTAGTTACTGCCAAGAGGTCGAGAAACCGGTTGTATAAGGTGCGTATGGGACTTAAAAGCTTGCCACATCTGCTTCTAGCCAAAGGAGACGAGTCAAACAGATGGCATGCACGCTTGGGCCACGTAAACTTTGAGACAATACGGTCCATGATACAAAAGGAGGTTGTACTTGGTATTCCGCGAGTGAGTATTGAGAAGAGAGTATGTGGATCGTGCCAACTTGGCAAACAAGCACGACAGGCTTTCCCTAAAGCTACAACATATCGAGCTACAAAGACGTTAGAGCTCCTTCACGGGGATCTATGTGGACCGATAACACCAAGTACACCAAGCGGAAACAAGTATGTTTTTGTGATTGTCGATGATCACACAAGGTACATGTGGACTTTGTTGCTAAAGGAAAAGGGCGAAGCGTTTAACAAGTTCAAAAGGCTGAGAGGTTTAATGGAGCAAGAAACAGGGGAAAAGGTTCAAACATTTAGAACCGATAGAGGAGGCGAGTTCGTATCAACAGAGTTCAATGAATATTGCGAGAAAACGAGTATAAGGAGGCATCTCACCGCACCATATACTCCTCAACAGAATGGTGTGGTAGAGAGAAGGAATAGAACTATGATGGAGATGGCGAGAAGCATTCTTAAACATATGAGTATGCCTAATTGGTTCTGGGGAGAGGCTATACGACACTCAACATATCTTATAAACAGAGTTGCTACGCGAGCCTTAAAGGAGATAACTCCATACGAGTTATATCGGAGAAAGAGACCAAATGTGGGTCATCTTCGAGTTTTTGGATGTCTTGGATACGCAAAAGTAGAGAGTACAAAGTTGAAGAAGCTTGATGATAGATCACTCATGTTAGTGCATCTAGGAACAGAGCCTGGATCAAAGGCATATAGGCTGTATGACCCGAGAACGAGGAAGATAAAGGTGAGTCGTGACGTTGTCTTTGACGAAACAAAAGGATGGGATTGGAGCAAAGAACAGTCGGAGCAAAACAACGACGAGAGTTTTGCTATCATGATTAATAACTCCGGTAACCATGGGGTGAAAGAGAACACGACAAACCAAGACAACGGCAACAATAATGCGGAAGAGATAAGCGATAATGACTCTGAAACAGAACAAGGAGCAGAAGAAGAAACAGAGTCTCAGCCACTACGACGATCAGAGAGACAAAGGACGAGACCAAAATACCTTGAGGATTACGTCCTTCTAGCTGAAGAACTAGGAGAAGAGATCCTATTATATCTAAATGGGGAGCCAAGGAATTTTTGTGAAGCGAAAGGATCTAAGGAATGGACAAGAGCATGTGAAGAAGAGATTAAGTCCATTGAGAAAAACGAAACTTGGAGTCTGGTTGATCTTCCATACGGAGCTAAATCAATTGGTCTCAAGTGGGTATTTAAGATCAAACGCAACTCTGATGGGAGTATCAATAAGTTTAAAGCTCGGCTTGTCGCAAAGGGATATGTGCAACGACATGGAGTTGATTTTGATGAAGTGTTTGCTCCGGTAGCTCGAATCGAAACAATACGACTTCTTATCAACTTGGCTGCAACGCATGGGTGGGAAATTCACCATCTCGACGTAAAAACTGCGTTCCTCCATGGAGAGCTCAAAGAAACCGTCTATGTCACGCAACCAGAAGGATTTGAGATAAAGGGATGTGAGAATAAGGTGTATAAGTTAAACAAAGCCTTATATGGATTACGGCAGGCACCTAGGGCGTGGAACAATAAGTTGAATCGGATCCTTTGCGAGCTTGGTTTCAGAAAATGCGCCAAAGAACCCTCAGTTTACCGCAAAACAACGAATGGGGAGCTCCTCATAGTTGCTGTGTACGTAGACGATCTGTTTGTTACCGGAACTAACAAGAAGATGATCAACGAGTTTAAGGAGAATATGTCAAGTAAATTTGACATGAGTAACCTTGGGAAGCTTACATACTATCTAGGTATAGAGGTATGTCAGTACGAGACCGGAATTCACTTAAATCAAAGGCGTTATGCGTCTAAGATATTGGAGGATGCTGAGATGATAAAATGCAACCCTGTTCATACGCCAATGGAACTAGGATTAAAGATGTCAAAAGCAGAGCATGAAGGAGAGATCGATGCAACATCATACAGAAGAAACATTGGTTGCTTGCGTTACTTATTGCACACTAGGCCAGACTTGTCATTCAGTGTCGGGGTTTTGAGTCGTTACATGCAGAGTCCAAGAGAATCACATGGACTCGCGATGAAGCAAGTCTTGCGTTATCTCCAAGGAAGCATCACGTATGGGTTAGTATTCGAAAGCTCAAAAACGAGGATACCTAAGCTTGTAGGCTATAGTGATAGCAGTTACAATGTCGATCCAGACGATGGCAAGAGTACAACCGGTCACATATTCTATCTAGGAGAGAGTCCCATTACATGGTGTTCTCAGAAACAAGAAACAGTTGCTTTATCGTCATGTGAAGCTGAGTTTATGGCAGGTACAGAAGCAGCAAAACAAGCTATATGGCTCCAAGATCTATTGAGTGAGGTAACCGGCCAGCAAAGTGAGAAGGTGGTGATTCGTATTGATAACCAATCTGCTATTGCTTTGACAAGAAATCCAGTGTTTCACGGGAGAAGTAAACACATACACAGAAGATATCATTTTATTAGAGAATGTGTGGAGAATGGGCAAGTGGAAGTCGAGTATGTGCAAGGAGATAAACAGAAGGCAGATATATTGACTAAAGCCTTAGGACGAGTTCGGTTCAAGGAGATGAGAGAGTACATTGGCATGAAGAATGTGGAGATGAAGAAC